CACATTCAACATTTAAGCACTCACTCACTTAGATAGAGATGGGTTTAAAGGAAAATTATCATATAAATATAATCTGGTAAAAGCTGGTATCTCTGGGTATTTACAATGTCCCCTGCAACAGAAAAAACCCTCTCATTTGGGACTGAGCTTTCTGGGACAAGAGAGATATGACTTGGCCCAGGTTGACAGCAGTGGGTAACGCTGTGCATTGTCTTTCCCCCACTTGAGAGGGCAAGCCATGAGTGAGATCTCATGTCTGCATCAATCTGAACAGTGTGCTGACAACACCGCTATTCAGTACGCGCGACAACACAGCTGATAAGAACTCGCGCGACAACACAGCTGATAAGAACTCGCGCGACAACACAGCTGATAAGAACTCGCGCGACAACACCGCTGATAAGAACTCGCGCGACAACACCGCTATTCAGTACGCGCGCGACAACACAGCTGATAAGAACTCGTGCGACAACACCGCTTTTCAGTACGCGCGCGACAACACAGCTGATAACAACTCGCGCGACAACACAGCTGATAAGAACTCGCGCGACAACACAGCTGATAAGAACTCGCGCGACAACACCGCTATTCAGTACGCGCGCGGCGACAACACAGCTGATAAGAACTCGCGCGACAACACTGCTATTCAGTACACGCGCGGCGACAACACAGCTGATAAGAACTCGCGCGACAACACAGCTGATAAGAACTCGCGCGACAACACCACTATTCAGTACGCGCGCGGCGACAACACAGCTGATAAGAACTCGCGCGACAACACAGCTGATAAGAACTCGCGCGACAACACTGCTATTCAGTACACGCGCGGCGACAACACAGCTGATAAGAACTCGCGCGACAACACAGCTGATAAGAACTCGCGCGACAACACTGCTATTCAGTACGCGCGCGGCGACAACACAGCTGATAAGAACTCGCACGACAACACAGCTGATAAGAACTCGCGCGACAACACCGCTATTCAGTACGCGCGCGGCGACAACACAGCTGATAAGAACTCGCACGACAACACAGCTGATAAGAACTCGCGCGACAACACCGCTATTCAGTACGCGCGCGGCGACAACACCCGCTTTAGGGTTTTCCAGCTCTTTTTCATCCCCTCTTCTAGCAGCACACTCCATTTCCGCATTACTGGATCTGTAGCGACAACAGACCGCAAGGGATGATGGTCAAGCATGGGCTGATGGGAATTGTAGTTTTCGCTACCTCCCGTTCGCTTCATTCGCCTGAGCAAATTTTCTCAGAAGACCTATAGTTTTACCGAGTCATGCGACTACGGTAATATCGAAAAAAATTAATATTGCGGTATGACGGTATTTACAATACCGTTACATCCCTAATATATACTGTAGAAAGTGCTGCATTCAACACAGTTTCTTCATGCTGTCACACAAATCAATAAGATAACTTAATTGTTTTTACATTAAGTAGATTGAACATAAAACAATTAGATTGTCCTAAAAAAACTTAAGAATTGTGTTGTTTCAACTCAGCAAAGGTAATTTTTTTAATATAAATTCATTAATTTTCCTTCCCTTAGTCCCTTTATTCATAAGGGGTCCCCACAGCGGAATGAACCACCAGCTTATCCAGCACATGTTTTACACAGCAATCTGCAGCCTAGTACTGGGAAACATCCACCCACACCAACACGGGGAATAAAAGCAAACTCCACACAGAAATGCCAGAAACGCCAACTGGCCCAGCCGGGACACAAACCAGCGATCTTCTTGCTGTGGGGCCACACACTAACCACTGAGCCACCTCTGCATAGGCCATTTTTGTCACCATAGCACAATTTCAGTATCACTGAGACATTGTTTTGACCATAAAACCCTATTTAATGCTGAAGTTTCATCCACAGTGCTTCTCTGAGAGATTGTTCTCCACAGTCTTTCTTCTCTCTGTACATGTGAGCTGGTGTCTACAGTGCATACTAATAGCAGACTCTCTCTGTGTGCTGCGGTGTACACTGTGCATTAGTGATCTCACTGCTTTTGTCCCGTCTTCAGATGAACACTAAAGCTCAGCATACACTCTTACTGAGAGTTTTTGTCTTGTTTCTCGTCCTAAACATCTAAACATTCTTAAAATTCTAGACGAGCAAAACATTTAGTCTTGTTTTGAGAAGTAATATCCCAAAATTAAATGAGTTTTAACTTTAAAAAAGCTAAATAATCTGCTATTGGGGGAAGAGAAATTATTTTGGTTTTCATTTTGACCCAATTGGCAGATTATTTAGCTTGTATCAACTAAAAACACACTTAATGTTGGCATCTTACTTCTGAAAACAAGACAATATGTCTTACACGTCTAAAAAAATGCTTCTTAATTTAAGTATTTTTAGATATTTAGACTAAAAACAAAACAAGAAAGGCATTTCTTGCAGTCCAGCCACCCACGAACTGCGCTTTTCAATGCAACAAGCTGAATAGCTTAAGCAGACATTACGCTGGACATTATACGTGCTGGCAGAATGCTCATTTTGCTGAGGTTTGGACATAAAAAAGTGCTGGACGTCCCGCTGGTCTTGATGAACTCTGTGTGCCAACATTCACACTGCTTGCGCAACAACCAACGCTGTAATAAATGACATGCATTAGCATCACAAAGCTAAAATGACGCTGGAGCCGGTGGGCAGGACATTAACACACACACACACACACACACTCACACACTCTCACAGGAGGTCAGTCTGCCTGAGATGGATTTGGGTTTGGATCAAACTGAAGGAGGAAGATGCGAAACAGATAATATGAGATTGACACACACGTCACACTGCAAACAGATGCATGGATGACGGGACTCAAACTGATTATCAGATGGACAACAGCAGGAGACCACACTGCAAACACACCTGTGAGTCAAAGCTCGATTCAATTGGTTAAATAAATCAGGCAAAGACAAAAGGAACAATAAGAAATAAACTTATTGCACTTTAGAGGTGACATCTGAAATCGACAGCTTTATACATACAGTGCTCAGCTTAATGGAGCACACCCCATTATGAGAATGAATATCTTTCTCCATTTCTCAGTGAATATATAAGTGATGTATTTTGGTGCATTTAAACAAAACAGATTTATTAAACAGATATATTAATATATAATAAAATTATATTTTATTTAGAAATTTAAAGATAATACAGTTAAATTAATGCAAAATATTACTAAAATGAATTATAACCTACAAATTTTAAACAAAATTTTTTTCTTCTCTTGATTTTTCCTCTTTTTTTAAATTTGTATTTAATCAGAAATCAGAAAGAGCTTTATTGCCTGGTATGTTCACACATACAAGGACTTTGTTTTGGTGACAGAGCTTCTAGTGCAACAGAATTACAGAGACAGGACACAAAACAGATTATATATATATCTTTATATAAATAAAGAAGTAATTAGTGGATGCAAATATACAAATTAACAAGTGTATATACAGGTATATTACTATATACAATGTTATATGTGCAGCTGTTGTGTGCAAATTGGCATATTTTTCTATTACAAACAGTTGAGGTCAGAATTATTAGCCCCTTTTTTATTTTTGTCTCCCAATTTCTGTTTAACGGAGAGCAGATTTTCTCAACAAATTTCTGCACATAATCGTTTTAATAACTCATCTCTAATAACTGATTTATTTTCTCTAATATTAGACTAGACTAATTTTTCAAGAAACTGCTTAAAGTGACATTTAAAGGCTTAACTAGCTTAACTAGGCAGGTTAGGGTAATTAGGCAAGTTATTGTATAATGATGGTTTGTTCTGCAGACTATCGAAGAAAAATTAGCTTAAAGGGGCTAATAATATTGACCTTAAAATGTGTTTTAAAAAATTAAAAACTGCTTTTATTCTAGCCAAAATAAAACAAATAAGACTTTCTCCAGAAGACAAAATATTATCAGACATACTGTGAAAATTTCTTTGCTCTGTTAAACATCATTCGGGAAATATTTAAAAAATAAAAAATAAATAAAGGGGGGTGAATAATTCTGACTTCAACTGTATATGCTGAGCACACAGTGTATTCCAGATTGCATGCGAATCGGTGGCACTAATGACCTTTTTGTTTAATATTTATTTTAAATTTGCAATATTTAATACGATAAAATGTTTGATTGAAGACAAAAATCATTTGCCATTTTACATATTTTCATCCTATATCACACACTCATATCACACACCATCCCTTACAAGAAATCGGCAAAGTAATTCATTTTAATTTAATTGAATTCATCTATTAGTTTAATTAATAAATAATTACAATTGTGTGATACAACGACTCTCAAACATGGAGGAACTGCTACACCGTAAAAAAGAAGAAGCAAATATTTATATACAGCTGGTCAGAATTATTAGCTCCCTTTTGAATTTTTTTCTCTTTTTTCCCAATTATAATTCAGTAAAAATAACTGTATATGTCCCTGTAGTTTTCCTGTTTCTTTTGAGAAAGGTTAATTTCCAGAACCTTTACTTTCTCTGTTCCTTAGAGATAATATAGACAAAAATATTTTATGTTTTTAGTAAGTGCCTTTTGATCTTACAGTAAAAAAGACATGCTTTCATGCTGAGCAGTGTTGAGTGTAATGAGTTAAAAGTAACTAGTTACTGTAAATAAAGTATATATATATATATATATATATATATATATATATATATATATATATATATATATATATATATATATATATATATATATATATATATTAAAGGTTTTATTTGTCTTACAACTGCACAAGAAACAATGGCAATTTATGGTATATTAAATATGGTATTATTAATTAAATTACATCTCAATGTGATTGCAAAAGTCATCTAAAAACAGTTCTGCTGTTAAGGAAGATGACTGAGAGTGACTGAGCAAAAGTCTGCTTTCCTATTAAAGCAGGAACTGAAATCTGTTGAGTTGAGATAGTGCTCTCTTTTACTTTGTTTTGTTTGTGCCATTATTACAAGCAGCTTTTGTCCCGTTTCCTTCAGATGTGAAGATGCCTTTGTTGCTCTTTGGGGTGGCTTTGGCTCATGCTGTGGTAATGTTGGCTTTCACTTGTTCCTTTGTGTCTACATATTCAAAAAATAAATTATTCTATAATGATAATTTCAAACACACTGTGTGCTTTTTCTCTCTCTATGTTTTACACTGAAGACGATGGGTTTGTGCGAACCAACTCAATCCTGGTCTGACAGGACAGAAAGTGGGCTTTTGGGTAAGTAAATGTCTTTGTTTTTATGCTGTAAAATATACTCATTAGTCATTAGTGGCAATTTTCGGAAATTGAAATCATGTATACTTGTCTGAAAGCTGAATAAATAAGTTTTCTTCTGGTGTTTGGTTTGTTTAAGCAAGACACAATTTAGCTGAGATACAACTTTTTGAAAATCTGAAAATTTGAGAAAATTAAGTTTTGATTTATTTACAGTAGGAAATTTACTAAATATCTCAATGGAACATGATCGTTACTTAATAATCGAATGATTTTTGGACAAAGGAAAGCAAGTATCTTCCTGTTAGACTTTAGTGTTTTATGTAGAGAGTTGTGTGTAGTGTTTTGAGAAAAGTGTTTTATGCAATTGAAAACTGAGTTCAAGGCTGAGAAACAGCTTCTGGTTTTGGAGATTTGCTGTGTAGTTTTTCATTTTGAGTAAGAGGTTTCAGATAAAAACTGAATTATTTATACTTTCTACTATTATTTACAAAGATTATTTACTTTATATTCCAAAAACTTGGACATTTTTTAATTTTCTTCGGAGCTGAGTGACTTTTCAAAGCTCCTGAAACATCTAAAAATCTCATCTTTTGATATTTCCAGAACCTTTACTTTCTCTGTTCCGCAGCGGTGGGATGATTTCTCCAAAGCCACTAAAACCCCTATATTAAATTTTCACAATGACTTTTTTCATGAAAACTCCTTTGATTCACAAAATATAGAAACTATCAATTCATCGATATTATTTACATTTCTTTTCTACCGTATTTTTAATGGTAAAACTCCTGCAACCACTACTGCTGTTTGCTGTTTTTTTTTACCTTAAATTTGTGTGTTTTTCATGTTTGACATAAATCTGAACTGTTTGAGATCTTATTGACTGAACTCCCAGCAATAAAACAGCTGATGGTAACCTGTTGTAGATGTGCCAGACTCCCACATTCTGCTGCAGAAAGACGCGGTGTACCAGCTTGTGAACACTTCGCTGAGTTTCAGACAAGCTCTGCATTACTGCCGCGGGCAGACGAGTGTCCTCACAACTGCTGGGGTGAAAGAGGACGAGGACGGAGCCCAGCAGTTACTCAATAAATCCAACCTGAAGGGCCCGGTTTGGTTCCAATCAAACAAAAGACATCATCCCACAACTCATCTGGAGCGTCTCGAAAGTATGGTTTCTAAGACTGTTACTTTGGTCCAATTAAAAACATTTTGTGTCTAATCAACCAGTTTAAAAAGTTATATGAGAGAGACTTTAAAACTTTTACAAATCTTTAGTTTCAAATCAGTGGTGAGGAGTGCGTATCTAATTTGCAAAGTCACTTGATTTAAGTAAACGAGGCTTTGTTACTTCATTACTGTTTCGAAAACGCTTAAAAAATTAGCAATATCTTTAACTGAAACCAGTGTTGTGTTTTCATTAACTATTTCGAAACAGTGAATCATTTTGTGAAGTGTTAAATTTTATTAAAAGCTATAAAAGCTTTGTTTTCCCAATCACTATACAGTACATGCTGTAAACAAACTATAGGAAAGTAAAATGTCCAAAATTAAAGGGGTCGTTTACCCAAAAATGACAAATTTAGTCACTATTTTACGTGTTTAAGTAAAATGTAATTTTCATTTTATTCCGTAAAGGTTAACATTTCTTTCAGATTTTAAATAAAAATACTATCATTTAGAATAAAAGGTGCCAAGTTTCAGACAATTCTATATTCAGTTCTTAAGACAATACCACTTCAGTAGATTTAAGTATTTGGTGTAATAAATACAATCACAACAAATTTCAAACACACAAGACCACATAAAAATGACAAATGGCAGCATTTTTATATGAATTTTAGACAAACTGGTAGATAATTTTTTAATCAGTTCCATATATAAAGATCTTGAAGTGGCTGTCCATGAGTAAATTGTTAACCTGCAGGTTTCCACTGGTTAAAAACTAAATACAGATTACATTGCATATACAGATGACACTTATTGTTGATATGAATTAACTTAGTAAGAGTAATGTCTGAATAACAAATTATGCTGAAATCTACTAAATTTACTAAATGTAAAAACAAACAATTTTTCAAAAGTCTGCATGACTGTAACTCAAAAATGATAAACAATAACTCAATCTGTCAAAGTTCAGGCTCTTACGCTTTCCTTATGATAGGCCATTTATATAAATCATTTTCAAACTTGGTTTATCCTGTGTAACTAGGCTAATTTTAAACACCTCTGCAATCTAGTAGATTACTCAGCAAATATTAATATTTATGTTTACTTTTTGTGAGAGAAAAAAAGTAGCCTTGGTACTTTTTCTTCGTATTTGGTTGATTTAAAATGAAATTATTCTTTGCTTATTTATTACATTTGTCCTTTGAAAATATCTGTCTGTCTTATAGCATATGTGTCTCTTTTTTAAGTTGTAAAAAGCTAAATTTAAGTCAATATGTCTGATTCTTCGCAGAAACAGTCTTGCCAGGGTTATCCTTCAAGTCCAAGGAAGGCTTTGCGCGCGTAAACGCGACTTTCCCGCCACTGTCGGCGGCGAGCGTTTGCGTGCGCGTGCAGTGGGATGCACATCACGAGAACGTGTCTACGGTGTTCTCATACGCAGCTCCGGTTTTCATCAACGAATTTCAGTTGAGAGGACAAATCGACGAGTCTAGCCGCGGTCAAACCGACAGAAAGGTCCGCCTGGCGCTCCTCATTCAAGGGCAACATCATCCATACAAAGCCGAGCTGTCGGTCGATGGAAACTGGCACCATGTTTGCGTCACCTGGCGCTCGAGCGATGGATTCTGGGCTATTTATGTAGACGGAAAAACGGCGGATTCCGGGAAACGGGATTCCCTACAAAAAGCCAAGGACATACATGGGGATGGGATATTTATACTGGGACAGGACCAGGACACTTTTGGTGGGACTTTAACGGAGCCGTTTGTCGGAAACCTCACTGATCTGAGCGTTTGGAGTGAAGCGCTGGAGTTGGAACAGGTGCAAGCGCTGAACACGTGCTCGCCGCTGACCAATCACAGAGCCGTATTCAGATGGCGGGACTGGAACCTCAGCATCCACCAGTCTGTCCAGAATGTGTCTGCAACTCTCAGCTGTCCAGGTTAGTTTCGTGTCCATCTGCTTGAAGAATTATAAGAAGTTAAAAAATATATTTTTGATGTAGATTAGTCGCCTGTTGAGTCCCGCCCAAGCGGCAACCTCCCGCTTTTCTTGGTGAAGCTAATTACTGAAGTAACTGACACTGCAATTCATCGAAATTCCGCTAGTCCTGGCTCCATAATAGAGCAGATTTCCATTGACCCCAATTTTAAAATGGCCGACTTTACAGCAGAAAAAAAGGGTAAAGTCTAGATCGGATATGCGGCTGCACATTAATAAAGCAGCATTTTTTAATGACACTGTATAACAATAATTTATATTTTTACAGTACTGTGATGGTTGGGTTTAGGGTTGGGGTGGGGGTAGGCGTTAAAAATACATTTTATTGGGTAATTTAATAGATAACATAACTAATACTCGGTACAACTACAGTTTTTACATTACTGTGACGGTTGGGTTTAGGGTTGGGGTGGGGGTAGACGTTAATAAAATACAACAAATGAGAATTTTAATAAATAATAGAAATATTTCTCGTTAACTTCCGGCCGCAAACGTATCCGCTCTAGCAACAACAGAAAAAAAGCTGTTTACAGCCTGGTACAAAAAATATTTTGGTGCATGTAGCTAATATTACTCCTCATGACAACTGTGAGGGGGTGAATTGTCTCATAACTCATTCATTTCATTTATATTAAATTATATTAGGTCTGCATAATTAAGAGCGTGGCCACTTGAGTGACAGCTAGGTCTCTGATCGTCTTCACTTAAGCTGATTCCAGCTGATTAGCCGCTGAACTCTGCATATACATCGTATTTTTGTTGTTTTATGTGGCTTTACACAGTCACCTTTTGGAATTATTTCCTGCAATTATCAGATAATATAGCATGCTGTGTGCACTTAGTTGTGCTCCATTTCCTAGGTGAGTGCAATTATATACTTTATGTAACATATCTATAAATGTATTTGTTTTATCTAAGATACTTTATCATTTATAATTCTCTTTAGACCTGTAACGTTAATGCACTCCAGTGTTATGCTTGGATTTCTTAAATAGTCTTGCATTTTCTAACACAGACTATATTTGCAGTATTTAGAAGTAATTCACGTTTCCTCCTGTAGAAAAACATCATAAAAGATGTTGCGCCTCGCTTACACACTGCTTAATACGCACAAGAGAGCAACAGGCAAATATATTTACATATGAAAAAATTTAAATATTAAGCATATATATAGGATATAATAAGAATAGATATAGGATATAAATATAAAGGATTAAAATATTACAAAACTTATTATTTTCTAGCCTACATAAATATGAAAAATCACTGCTTTTATGTCTTCTTCATCTCGGGAGGCTTTTTCAGTTCATTCATAACAATTTGCTTTTGTATAATGTTATTATTATTAGCAGTATTATTTATTATATCCATATTTATATTTGTTTTATTAAAAACAAGCTTAGATTTGTCCACCTGCAGGTTTTAGACCATATGGGGCACAGCATGTGTTTTAGGATATAACTCAGGTTTTTGAGCACATTTTGTTATTATTGTTCATTTATTCGTTTGCTGGAAATTACAACTGAATTCAGAAATAGTTTTGAAACGAATATTTGCACTTAACAAACTAAATTAATTATTTATAGACTAATTGATGTCTGTGCGTACAGGTTTCCCTATCCAAGAGCGAATGTGAAAGTAGATCATTTATCACTTATTGTTACGCAGTAGATGCTCTGTTTAACAGTTCTCTGTGAACTGTTTGCTTGTGAAATGCTCATTTTTTCCACTTAGACTTACTTTGCGTCCTGTAAATAGCGAATGCGCTCTTGGCGTGACGCAGCTGGCTCTTAAAGGGAATAGGAGATGAGACTCTGATTGGTTTATTCTCAAAACACACCTATAACTCATTAAGAAAATAAACTCAACCCTTTTAGACCATGTGCCACGGCGCAAAGCAGATTTCCCGTCCTTAAATTAGCAAAAATGCGTCCTGACACGCCCAGAAAGCGCCCTGCGATTTGCGCTCTGCGCATGGACCGTCAAAATAGAGCCCTCTGATTTCAACAGCGGATTATTATATTGTTAAAATGATTACAATTAATTCTCTAATAGTAAAATATGATGTGTTTTTTGGAAGAGTGCACGTGCATTGTGATGATCTTATATTATCATTCTGGCATCGATATCGTGACAGGGCTAATAATGAAGTGCACAGATGCACCGATTATACCTAGCACTGCTACATATACAGATAAGAAGAGAACATATTGATTTTGAGTTTGCATCAGTGTTTTTGCTAATGTGTTGTGTTTGGTCAGTGTCCCCGAAGGCGGCACAGAGACAGCAGGAGGAGTGTGAGGTTCTGAAGGGCTGGTCTGCTGCTCGACCTCAGTACAGCAGTGCCGTCTGCACACACACTTTCCCCTTCATCTGCAGGATCAGCACAGGTGTGTGTTCGTTTGCGTATTTGTGTGTCTCTAGCTATGTTTCCATCCAAAAATGCGAATAAACTTTATGCGCAAAACTCGATTATCGCATAAAAGTTGTGCGAATGAAGCATCGTTTCCATCCAACGAGTCAAAGCGAACAAAATCGTCCTGATTAACTGGCGCCAAATATCAACAGTAAAACCTGCATGTGCTGCAGCAGAGAAGCTGCATCAATCTTTTCTAAATGAATGCGCCTCAGAAGACAATCCTGACAAGCAGTGAGCGCGCAGTGGCGTTTGAAGGAGTCAGACGCGGAGCACAGGCGCTCTTGATTCTGGAGGTCATTAATAATTTAATAACATTAATACTGAAACGGTACGGCACTTTATAATGACCAAAACAACATTTCAGATGTTTTATAATGTGCTCAGCCTGACGTTTTATCCATTCACACACATTTTAAGCATCACATGATCTCTTTTAACAAAATCACATGACGTTTTTTAATGCGCATGCTGGAGTTTGTGCGGTAAAAGTGTTTCCATCGCAGTTTATGCGCATCTTTTCTTATCGAATAAAGAGTTTATCCTACCCAGTTAGTAGCATCAGTTTTTTATGCGCAATTTAAAAATGTATGCGCATCATGGCGTTTCCATCAACTGTTTTTTTTATGCGCATTTACAAAAAATAGGTAGATGGAAGCATAGCTGTTAGCCCCTTTCACACATATAGACCTTTCCGGAAAATTGCCGGCAATTTTCCGCAAAGCTTGTATGTGTGAACCGGTCCTTTTTGAAATTACTTAAAATAATTTTTACCTTTTTGAAAATAATTTTTCCAGACACATTTAGCTGCTAGATGTTAGTCAGATCACGTTTATATGTTCTTCTTAATGCCAACTGTGTAAATAATCATCGATGAGATGCTTATGATAAGCCGTTGTTTGTTTACCTTTAAGCTTTGCGTGTGCCTGTGAAACAGCCTGTGAGCGCCTGCACACGCACATATTATGAACATCTCGACATGCAAAAGTGATCCTGCGAAAGTTGTTCACAATATTGATCATCCACAGAGTTTGTAATTTAGTCAAATGATTACAAACACAAGCGCAGCCGTTTAAAGCTCATTTGTGGTGAATGATGTCAGAATTTACCGGTATTTTGCGATGGATGTGTGAATGCTCTTTTCCGGAAAATTTCCGTAACGTCCTCGCCTGTGAACAGCGCTTTTTTGAATATACCGGTAAAGTCGTTCCGGAAATTTTCCAGAAATTTACCGGTATCACTGTGTGAAAGGGGCTGTTGTGTGTGTGTGTGTATATGTGTGTCTGTCTGTGTCATGTGTGTGTGTGTGTGTGTGTTTGTGTGCGCGCCAGTGTGCGTGCACCTCTGAGAGAGAGTGTCAATATGGGATTGCTCACCCAAAAATTAAATTGTTCAGACATAAAAAAAAACAAGATTTTTAGCTGAGTTTGTGGTGCTTGGTGATGCATAAAATGCAAGTCAGCGATTATTAAGATTAAAATGAAAGCATCTCGTGCTGTAAAATGTTACCAAAAAAGACACTCGCTGTCTTCAATGAGCTGAGTGTGAATAAATTAAGTGTGCGTTTTCAATTTTGGGTGAACTATCCCTTTAATGTCTGTATGTGCAGTTGTGAATGTGTTTATGTCTGGTTCACAGAGCACTATCTGAAGATGAAGGAGCTGAGAGAGTCTCTGAGGTCCAACCCCAGTCCCTTCATGCAGAGTCTCATGCAGTACGGCATGGTAGGAGCTTTTTACCATTAATATGGCACACACAATTTCATCAGACTATCATGACATATAACCAGAAACAGTAAAGTGATTAATGAAAATCATTAGTAATGCTATTGTGAAATGGCAACATTTTATAATGTATTTCAATAAGTAAACATTTATCATGATAGAGTTCATATTGCAACACCACAAAATAAACAATACTGCAAAATACGAATCTATAGACTTTAATTCATCCTCACTATATATGTAACAGTGCTCAAAGTAATTGAGTACACCCCATTTTGAAAATGAATATTTGTATTTATTTCTCAGGGAATATAGGCAGAGTATTTTGGTGCTTTTAAACAAAACAGATTTATTAAATAGATATAGTAGATATATTTATTAAAATAATATTTTAGTCAACAACTATTTAAAGAAAATGCAATTAGATTCAAGCAAAATAAAATTATAAACTTCAAAATCACAACAAAAAATGTAATTTTTTTGCTTCTTTTGATTTTCCCTCTTTTTTATTTGTATTTAATATTTTTCTTTAACATATAAATTTGGGTGTGCTAGTTTTTGGACCATCATCGCAAGTTATTTTGTTAGATATGCTCCAGATTTGGCTTCAGTACTGCCTAATCTAATATGTATGCACAAATATAAATTGTAGCGCTTCTTATTAAAAATATGAACTTAAAAGAGAGATTTGTGTGGGGTGTACTTATATATGCTGAGCTATAAGATATCTTACAATATTTCTGCATTGTGGTTCTTAATAAACATTTTTATTGGTGTCTTCAATTTAATTAAATAATCAATTTAAATTCTGTCATCATTTACTCACTCTTGACATGTTTCAAATTGAGTTTCTTTTGATCTATTAAACAAAACAAGAAGATATGAAGAAAGCTGAAAACCTGTAACCATTGACTTCCATAGTATTGGTTTTTCCAACCTTGGAAGTGAAGGTTACAGGTTTTCATCTTTGTTCTTTTATAATATCTTCTTTTGTGTTGTGTTAAACAAGAAATAAAGGTTTGGAAACCACTTGAGGATGAATAAATAATGAGCAAACTTATGTTTTTGGCTGAACTATCCCTTTAAAAGTCTTTTTTCAATTCTAAAGATATGGGGATCGCAATGTGGTGCGTTAATAATCAAAATATTAACTCTTTCATTCATTCATTTTCCTTCAGCTTAGTCCTTTATTTATCAGAGGTCGCCACAGCGGAATGAACCGCCAACTATTCCAGCATATGAGTGGATCCAGCTGCAACCCAGTAATGGGAAACATCCAAACACTCACATTCACACATACACTCATACACTACGGCCAATTTAGTTAATCTATTCCCCTATAGCGCATGTGTTTGGACTGTGGGGGAAACCAGAGCACCCGGAGAAAACCCACACCAACACAGGGAGAACATGCAAACTCTAACTGGCTCAGCCCGGACTCGAACCAGTGACCTTCTTGCTGTGAGGCCACAGTGGTAAACACTAAGCCACAGCGTCACCCTAAAGAAACTCTATAAATGTGTTTTCTCAGACGGCAGAGGATGTGCTGTCTGATGCAGTGGATGATCAGAGCTGGGCGTCGGTGTCTCGTCTGCTGAACGTCTCTGAGCAGGTGATGTTGACGGAGCAGAAACCGCTGGAGGACAGAGACATGGTTTCTCTTGTGCACGTTCTCTCTCGAGCCGCAGATCTGCCCATCACTGCAAACCACAGCCGAGCAGACGCAGAAACACTCGGACAGAGCTTCATCACCATCGCTGATTCCCTCCTCAGCCAGGACGACCACGAAAAATGGCAGAGCATCAAAGAGGTGCGAAACATTCACTTAATGAGTCGTCACAGTCATTTATGTTGAACACCTGAACACAATGGCCAATAGTGCTGTTTAAGAACGCGATCAACAGTGTTCAAATGGTACTGGGAAATGGGTGTTTTTACAATTTCAACACAGATTGGTACCGAACTCCAGTATCTTGACAACACTTTTACACACACTGCTGCCACACAACTGTGTTTAAACCCTTTATAAAAATGATTTTTGCATAATAGGTTCCCTTTAAAATAAATCTTTTATCCTGTGTGTTGTTGTAGGTGGTGAAAGGCCCGATGGCTGTCATCCAGACTGTAGAGCGTATGGGGATCAACTTAAACTCTCTGCTCACGGACGACACAGACAGTGTGCAGATCCACAGCCACAATATCAGTGAGTAGAAAGCAGATGCTTTTAGTCGATGTATTAATTATATGATTCATAAATGCTGTGCTAGTAATGGTCATTAAAAGTCCATGTTAATAAATGCATTAACTAATGAATTATGTATGGCAATATATGCAAATTACATGTATGGCAAACAAGTTCACATTTGGATTACACATGTAAAATATACTTCATATATGCAACATATGTTTAGAACTATTGTAAAAATTGCCACTTTATGTGTATATATGTTCAAAAATGTTAACACACACACACACACACATATATATATATATTTTTTTTTATAGAACAGTTCTGTCTGCACCTCGAATCTGATTGGCTGATAGCCGTGATATATTTAGGTAATTCCAGCATCCATACAGCCTCAGCATCCATACAACCCTTTTTGTATTACTCCGCCCACATACAGCCAGCAACAAGCAGAGACTACAGTTTGACAAATATTCCTGCTGTTAGACAACCAAATATACTTTTAAGGCTTTTTTAGTGGAAAATATAGTTGTTTAGATTGCAAATATGCAGTTTATTTGCGAGAATAGTGCCTATTTTAAAATATTCACAATTTCTGAAAGCTCGTCGGCGGCCAAAGACGGTTGACGTTGTCTATCCACAAGATGGCGCTAGAACTGCATAATAAGCCCTTGCTCAGTGTGTTCTCTTGAGCGCGAATTAAAAAGCTGAAAAACGGAAGCCTCGTGGTTTTTAAGGTGGTTTTTAAGATAGTCAATAAGAAGCTGGTAATAAGAAGCTGGATTCAGCCTTGTCCCTCTTTATCGCAAACACAACAGCAGTCTGGTGGGAAATCTCTGTAGACAGATGGAGTTTCATGTCACAGTCAGCCTTATAACCTTAAAATGTGAGCAAAATTTGCTGTTTTGTCATCACCTTAAGGGGGTCACACACCAGAAGCGCCGCTTCACATTACGCTATAGAGAATCATTCAAAATGTTGCCCTACAACTACTGAATAATGCCCAGTCTTGTCCGTATATATTTGTCATTGCAATGTTTGGAAAAATCTACATGTAAATAGTCATTTTTTTGCAGTGTTTCAAAATGCATGTTGCATATATGAAATCCAAATATTAACTTTTGTATCTATGTATTCTATTACTATAAATCAATATGGATTATGATCCCACTCCTGCGCTCCTGTTTCTCCAGAGCTGCAGGTCCAGCAGAAGCTTCTGTCTGAAGATCCGCACGTGTCTGCGTTCTGCGGCTCAGATGGGGGAAATCGAGACTGCATCTCTGTGCCTGCTAAAAACATGAAGGAGCTCCGCAACAATGGTACAGAGATTAAGTTCTTAGCAACATGTGTTACTGATCAGAAGTTACGTTTTGATTTATTTGGTACGTTTCATGAGGTAAACCTTTTCATTGAATATGCTCTTTACTGGAGATTCTAATGAGTTCTGGCATACAATACAAAGTAATAAACATGTGTTGTTGGCTGTTCCTACAAATATACACATGCAGGGCATGTAGAAGACTGTATTATCATCAATAATGTTATTTGTTGAGCATAAAAGTTTGTAACATACAAATACATAAACTAAATCTTACCTATGAAATGTTCTGCCTTTGTGCCCTGTTTTCTCGTAACTACACCCGTACACAGCCCTAAAAGTCCAGCATCTTCACATTAGTTGCATCTCAAATAGCACACTATGCACTATGTACTTATGCACTTACACACTTAACAGCTTAGTATATGACTGTAGTGTCGTCCCAAATGGCACAGTAACGTTTTTTTACTAAGTGAAAATTCAAACCGTTTCCCTGATGACGTTTGACGGTCGCCTAATCAGTGAAATAAACGACCGAATTATCAAATAATACCTGCCGTGAGTATAACCGCATTCACCATCAGGAGGCGCTATAATCACTCTCGTAGAAGAATTTTGCTTTCACCATCCAAAATAAATAAAGTTATTCAACATGTGCGCCCGATAGCTCCGCCTCTTCCGCTCCGTGAGCAAACGTGCGGCCATTGAGTGCGTGAAGTGTTCATCATTACACACATGCATCATCTGGGTAATTAAAGTGCACTTAATATTGTTAGAGTTTTCAGTGTAAACGCATTACTGACACTATTTACACTACGAAATGACGTAGAATATTGTATAAGTATGCGATTTGGGACGCAGCTATTGGCTTTAGTCTTGACTAGTGCGGTTGAATTTTGTCCTGAGAGCCCTGTACAAATGTAGCGCCGCTATTGAAGCATGCTCCGGGTCCCTATGCGATATCTAGTGTATATATCTATGACGAATAACAATATGCTCTAGCAAAATAAACGCTGTCAATTTTGATTTTACACAGACTCTGTATGTTACAGAAGCTCTAAAGGGAAATTTGCACAAAAAAAACAAAAACAAATACTGAAGACTTTGCCTACTTTTTATTTACGTGCTTTTATTTTTGCAAACGTCTCATAGGGGCTCCGTAGAATTTTGATTAAATAAACTAAACAAACGTATCATTTGTTTTCATTGTCCACATTTACAGTTACTCTTTCTTTCCTTCATTTTTGCCTGTTTAGACTTCAGAAAGGTGACTGTCCTGAACACGTGGTTCAGCTCAGTGAAGTGTCTCTCAGAGAAAGAGGAGAACATCAGCCTTTTTCCAATAGTCACTGACGGCTCTCAGAGGTAAGACTACATTACCTGACTAAAGTCTTGTCGTGGATCTCAGTTGTAAGAGCAACACATAATAACTTGACTTCTAGTCGATCATTTGGAAGTGTCAGAAGGTGGACTTTACCGAGGAATCATCTGCTGATCTGCATCCCAATCATCACCAATACTGCAGGAGACCTACTGGAACCAGCATGGAGCCAAGATTCTCACAGAAATCAGTCAAGTTTGGTGAAGGAGAAATCATGGTTTGGGGTTACATTCAGTATGAGGGCGTGCGAAAGATCTGCAGATCAACAGCCTGAGGTATCAAGACATCTGTGCTGCCCATTACATTACAAACCACAGGAGAGGGACAATTCTCCAGCCTCCACATCAAGGCTCCTGAAAGCAAAGAAGGTCAAGCTGCTCCAGGATCGGCCAGCCCAGTCACCAGACATGAACATTATTGAGCATGTCTGGGGTAAGAGGAAGGAGGAGGTGTTGAAGATGAACACAAAGACTCTTGATGAACTCTGGGAGTCCTGCTGAACACTTTCTTCTTCATTCCAGATGACTTTATTAATCAGTGATGTGAGTCATGTCAGAGATGTATGGATGCAGTCCTCCAAGCTCATGATGGAGTCAGACACAATATTCATTCTGTCTCCACTGCAGCAGGACTTTATATTCTATACTGGACATTATTTCTGTTCAGTGATGACACTTTAGTCTAAGCAGAGTCAGACCGCACTGTCCTGATCAAATCATTCATAATCAAGACATGATCATAGACTATTGTGCTCAAATAAGCGTCATCTAGAGGCCTTTACCTTTCATATAAGCCACTTCTGACACCAAATGATCAACTAGAAATCATCAAAATCCTTCAAAAACAACGTTTAGTGTTTTTGATCAGGACTGAGGTTGATCAACAGATCCATGGGAAATGAATTGGAAATCAAACATCAGATTTTTACGGCAGTTCGTTTTAGTGGGTGTTTTCATTATTAAAGTGTAATAGATTTGACCAATACACAAGGGTTAATGCTGTAAAACTTCAAACCTATATTGCTAAAGTTTTGCTGAAGGAAATTACACTTGGTTCAGAGAGAAATACACAGAACTGCTGTTTGTTTCCTGATATAGTGTGGTTACATTATACCTGTGTTGTGATATTGCTAATGTGTGTGTGTGTGTGTGTGTTGTTAATATTAGGTTTGTGGGGACAGTTTTGGGCTCGTCTGTCATTTCCAGCACAGTTCTGGCAGATGAGCAGCCCGTCAGCGTGGCCATTCACTTCACACTTCAGCACAGGCTTCAGGTAACACACAAAAACCGTTCATGTTTCTGAAATGATCACTAAACCTGTGAAAGGAAGAGGGAAAATGACACTTTTAGAGAATAAACTGTTTCTACTGGATTCCAGGTCATATGGATGTGCTTAAGCCCACACAGAGTCTATTCATTTACTTGTGTAAATGTGTGTAAATTAAAATTTATTCAGCTTTTTAAATTAATTTCAGTAATATTACTGAGAAATATAAAAATGTTCAGGGTGGCACGGTGGCTCAGTGGTTAGCACTGTGGCTTCACAGCAAAAAGGTCGCTGGTTCGAGTCCCTAGCTGGGCAGGTGGCATTTACTTGTTCTTCCTGGTGTTTCCTCCGGGTACTCCAGTTTCCCCCATCGTCCAAACATATGCGCTATAGGGGAATTGGGTAAACAAATATTTTCCATAGTGTATGAGTGTGTGTAAATGTGAGGATGGGTATTTCCCAGTTCTGGGTTGCATCTGGAAGGGCATCCGCTGTGTAAAACATATGATAGTTGGCGGTTCATTGTGTCCCTTGTTTATCAGGGGTCGCCTCAGTGGAATGAACCACCAATTCATTCATTCATTTTCCTTTGGATTAGTCCCTTGTTTAACAGGGGTCACCAGAGGACAATGAATGAATGAGTTGGCGGTACATTCCACTGTGGCGACTGAAGCAAAATGATTGAATACAAATGTTAATAATATTTATTTACAATACAGTTTGTAAAGTCATATTTTTTGCCTTTTAGTAGATCTATTAGATGAGAGACTTGCTTTGTTTACCAATTAAGTGGAACTAATAGGATCTGCAGGTGAACATAAAATAAAAGTACATATAAATAAAAGGTATATTATTGTTTATTTCTTATATTACGTTTTTAGTTACAATACTTCCCAAATCATTCTAAATAAACTAAATAAATCAATAATAAACAATTCATAAATACGCAGATTTTTTCTAAAATTTTGTGCAGAAATTAAATAAACTGCGCAGATTCTGCTGGCCCTACTGATGATGGGTAAAGAACTGGCAGATGAGGCAGTTTCATAATTATTTGGCCTCCTGTGATAATTTTAAATTCTTCATTCTATAATATTTCCCTAATGCATTTTAACAAAGAGATTGTGTGTGTTATTAAAATATAAGTAAACAGTTTTTTTGCCAGTCATGCTTGTTTTTAACTAATGATTTCTCCTTCAATCTTCAGAACACTTCTGTCAAGTTTATTCCAGTGTGTGCATTTTGGGATTTTGACCTGATGTAAGCAATGTTCATTGATTTGCATCTGTAATATTAGCTAATTCCTATGTTGCTATTCATGAAATGGCTTAAATCCTGCCTTTTGTCTTTACTCTTCAGGTCAGATGGAGGAGGATGGTCAACGAAGGGCTGCGTCGTCATTTCTACTCAGAATAATTCTACTTCCTGTTACTGCAACCACACTACCAACTTTGCTTTGCTGCTGCAGATCTATGAGGTTCAGGTGAGCGGTTATATTATACAGAGAATTATTCGTTTTACATTTTAATGCTTTTTAAAATATTTTTATTATTTGGTTGGAATTAAAGCAATTTTTACATTAAATACAGATTTTTAATGTAAATGTTATTAGCCCCCTTAAGAAATTCAGGGTGTCTTAAAAAGTCTTAAATCTTAAAAGCTTTATTTTAGTCCTTAAACAGTCTTAAATATACTGAAATATTGCGTTGTAGGTCTTAAATCTTTTTAACAGGTCTTAATTTTCCTTTGTTCATGTAAAGCTACTCTATCGGGCCATTAACAGCCATACAATCTCAATAAAAAAATGTATTTAAAAATTACATTTTTAACTCCATTTATAGTGTCCGTAATGTTTTAATTACTTACAGTAACATTTGTTTAAAAGTTCTCCATTTATTTACTGCTGAGGATACTGACCTAACCTATAGTTTTTATTATTAAATCATTATTATCGTAAATGTGTTAAATTATAATCTTTTCTGACAGGGCAAGTGAAAATCATTTCCAACTGGAATATTGGAAAAAAATCCTTAGCATTTATCCTTGTATAAGTCTAAAATTCATTCATAATGATCTTAAAAAGTTGTTAAAAGTCCTAAAGATGCAGTTTTGCATTCCTGGATCAAAACAAATGCAAGCGCAGGTTGCCAGATTGAGGACCAACATGACTCTCGAGCCTAAAGGCTGATTTAAATTGTGTTGTAAATAAAAACAACGGCACGAGATAGAAGGAATATTCTCCATATTAAAATGAGTTTTTGTCCTAACCAACACCTCGAATTGATATATTAGAAATGGCTTTTCTCACAGCTGCACAACAGAAAACAACGAACAGCTCAGGTACTCTTGTGTGTTTTATTCAGTGTTAAATGCTAATCATGTGGATCTGAATGCCATTGCAGGACATTTAGTGCCACACTACTGAAAGCAGCAGCAGCAGATAGTTCAGCTCAGATCTGGAAAATAAAATAAACTGTCAGAACTAAACACATATCAGTGATTCAGCATCTACATTTAATCATGTTAAAGAGCTTTAATATGTATTCATTAGATTATAAAGCTGTGTGCACTATTCTGTGCTTCTGATTGCCTGTATTTACATTTCTGTCGTGTTTCGTCTGGTGCAAACAGCCCAATAGCTCGTCACTGCAAATCTTGTCATGTAGCGTGTTGTTAGGACAGTTACAGTGTACCCTGCTCACGTAATGTTTACGATCTTAATATTTATATTCATTAATAACCAATTAATAGCAAATGCTAATTAATAACCACCTCACGTGTGAATCTGCATCTCATTTTAGAGTCTGCTTCTGTCCACCAGAGGTCACATTTTGGTCAAGGGCACATGCTTTAAGAGTCTTCCCGACTGACTGACTGAATGAATAAATGAAATACGCCAATAATAATGTTTTCCACCGGGGTGCTGAAATATAATTGGCTAAACTGGCATTGGGCGGGTTAAATGACCAAAACAAAGACAGATGTTACAGCACGTAACGCACATGTTCATAGCAGAATATCTGACTTCAGCAGTGCTTTTCAGATGTTCAAGAATGTTCACTGAGCATGTTTCTGAATATCTGCACACATATGATGCTGCTTTCTGCTTTAGAGGAGTCAAACACTGACATACAGCAGCTTTAAACTGAACTTGGTGAAACCCTGAAATTGTGTTTTCCAGTCTACAGAACAACCCTGTTGTCTAATGACTTACCTGATTAACATTAATAACAATCATTCTGTCCTCATTTCCTCAGCCTTCAGCTGTTATAAACCAGTTTGACTTTCTTTCTTCGGGTTGAACAGAAATGAAGATGTTTGTAAGAATGTTCAAAACCTGTAAGAACACATTCAACACTTCTGAAGCAGAAATTGAGCAGATAAACTCGACACACTCTCCTCTGTTTTGTTCAACACAACTTTATTGAGTTCTACACGTTTCTCTGTCCCCATAACAGAATATGGCGGTTTTTCCCCCGCCGTGCAGCCTGGGCCTTGGAGGCGGGTCTGTTGTTGGCCCACATGTGCTGCTTGTGTATCGGGAACTTTCTGTTCAACTCCTCTTTCAAGCTGTCAACTGTCCATGTGGTCATCCTCCTCCTGTTCGCCACGCTCTCCTCCACCTCCTCCTTTCTTACGATGTCAGTTATTGTCTCTTTCTCCTCCATGCTCTTTTCCACCTCCTCACTTTCCTGTCCTTTCACCTCCTCCTCCTCCACCCTGCGGTTTCTCCTCGGCCTCCTTCTCCTCTTTGTCTTCTTCTTCACTTTGTCTTTCTCCATGTCCTCCACTTCCGCTTTTTCAATGTGTTTTATTTCCTCATTTTCCTCCACCACACTTTCCTTCTCCTCCTCCCTCAATTTCATTCTCCAGAACTCCTCTGACAGCTGGCTGCTTATCTCCTCCTCCTTTCTTTTCTTGACCTCCTCCTCTGTCTTCTCTTCCTTCGTGTTATCGTTCACTTTCTCAGTCATCACAACCTCCTCCTCCTCCGTCATCACCACCTCCTCCTCCATCACCACCTCCTCCATCACCACCTCTTCCTCCTCATTCTGCTTCATCTCCTTCAGTTCCTCCTCCTCCACCATCCTCTTCTCATAGACCTCATAATCTGTTAGAGGACAGATGATTGCAGTTTGCACATACACACCGCCAGTTTCATGTTAAACTCCAGATTCACAGCATTACAGTCTGAAACATCTACTGTAGATGCCAAAAGCATCATTTACCATCAGAGGATGGGAATCTGAACGGCTCATCACTGGGAGAGAAGCAGAACCATCTCAAGGCCGCTCTGGTGAACAAAGCAACCTTGCTCTTCTTTTTCTTCTTCTTCCTCTCTTTCACTTTCACCTCCACCTCCTCCGTCATCACCACCTCCTCCTCCTCATTCTGCTTCATCTCCTTCAGTTCCTCCTCCTCCACCATCCTCTTCTCATAGACCTCATAATCTGTTAGAGGACAGATGATTGCAGTTTGCACATACACACCGCCAGTTTCATGGTAAACTCCAGATGAGGGCAGTAAATATACGGTTTATTCACAGCATTACAGTCTGAAACATCTACTGTAGATGCCAAAAGCATCATTTACCATCAGAGGATGGGAATCTGAACGGCTCATCACTGGGAGAGAAGCAGAACCATCTCAAGGCCGCTCTGGTGAACAAAGCAACCTTGCTCTTCTTTTTCTTCTTTGTCTCTTTCACTTTCTTCTTCTTGTCGTCTGTTAAAAGATAAACAGTTGCACATCTTGACACACTTCTCCAGAGTAATTGAGGAAATTAAATGTACATTCACCAAAAACAAACACCCAAATATAAATAACTAAACCACTCATTTACCATGATTTAAACACACTTTAACCATGAAATTTCACTTTTATTTTGTATTTTAGTATTATTTATTGTAATCAACTATAATAATATGTGATTATTCTCATGTTTTATAAAACTGGCTACACAAATAAATGCTCAATACACCAAACAATATCAAAATACACGTTCAGTGCTCTTTTATTTAAACAGAAAAGCGAATGCTTCATTTCACTGAGGGATTTTAGACTAAAGTTGTGTCGGAAAAGCTGAAAATGAGATTCAACATCAAACCGTTTCATTAAGATGCACTTGAATAGCCGAATAACAGACCATAATATTTAGCATTTACTATTGCAGCTTATTCTGTTTCTGCTATTCATTATCAACTGATGAGATCATATCATCAATATCAACTAATAATGCCAGAAGTTAATATCATCACGTACATCCTGCTACTGTTTTTGTAAAGGACACACTATTGAACTGTGTTTTACTGTATTTATGTGGTGTTTCTGTATTTTAAAGTTGCTTTGTGAAAATAAACATATAATTCTGTAAACAGCACAAGATAAATAGAGTAAATGCAGGACTTTTGTTCTGTTACTGGCGAACTGCTGCTAGTTACTGTGGATTTTACAGGAATGTGTTAACAGAGCTCTGTCTATCAAACATTAGGTTTTAATAGTAAGTATATTGTTATGTCAGAAAAACACTGGATATTCATATCAGAATGTAAATATGACTCACTATTAGAGCTGTTTATAGGCAGTTCTGGCTTTTGGAGATGTTGCTGCCTTTCGGGAAAGATCTCCATTTTGGCAGCCGATGTCTCGGGGTCAACGCCCAGTGGAAGATGCTCAACCATGATGTCAGTTTGGTTTTCAGACTTTCTGTCAAGAACTCGGGGTCTGGTAGCTGAAATGGGATGATGATTTCGGTCTTGCACCGTGAATCACTCAAATAGGCAGAGATGTTCAGTCGCTGAGAATCACTACAGGAGTTAGATATTCACTCGCAACGAAAGAAACACCCGCTCAACGCCACTACCACAATCCAACAAGAGTTTCTCGTGTGCTGCAAGGCTTACAGTTCACTTTTGGAATGCGTTCTATTCTCAGAACACGCTTCACTATGGTAACCAGACCCTGCACTAACCAATGTTTTCTTTTAAAAACAAATGACTGAGGACATGTGCAAAGCACATAGAATACAGAAAACTATGCTAAATACATTGATCAAAAGCCGTATTGGTGACACTTTATTATAACTACACACTATAAATCCTTTATTAAGCATTAGTAAATAGTTAATTAATTATCTGTTAAGGAATAACTCTGCATTAATAGACATTAGTAAGAAGTTTATAAATACAGCTACACTTGCATGTGTAGTAGCTGTATTCTTGACATTTATGATGTGCTTAATGATTGTGTTTTCATACTTTTTTACTTAATAATTGTTCATTAGTAAATTCAGTACTGCATTATTTACAAAACATTGGTATTCAAGAGTAGTTTGTGGCTTTTAGAATAATTCAGAATGAGTAAGTAAACCATTAATAAACTATTCAAATCAACATTTATATATTTTATCATTCAGCCATATAGTAATGTTAATATGTATGTTAATAAATAGTTTATTACCTCAACTTCATGCAGTTTTGTGACCTAATCTAAAGTGAGGACTATTTATGCTTTGTAAATCCCTTATAAATGACAATTAAAGGCTCAGTATGAAATGCACAATAAATGTTTGCAGGCTTATCCAAAAATTAAAATTACTGTAAACTTGCCGAATAAAAGTAGTGTCAAAATACATTAATTAGCTAACTAAAATGGGATAAAACAACCAAACATATTAATTTAACAATATATTATGATGCAACATTTCAAACTAATTTAGTGAAGTTTAAACTGTACAGTCATTTTATTTCACATCAGATTGCAAATTTTTATTTTTCATTTATTTATTGTCATGTGGACAGTAAGGAAACACGTTTCCCTGTACAATGAAATTCTTACTCTACCGTCCACAGTGAAGTCACACACAACATACACATAATACATGACATACACATAAATACACATACACAGAAGTGACGGAAGTATAACTATGAAATGTAAATATATAAATATCTATGAAAGTAAACAATATATAATACTGATTGTGGAGTAATGTTAACTAGTAAAACATGCTTTATTATTATCATAATTATAATTATGTATAATTGTCTTATGTGCAAACAATAATATAATGGTCTGAGCTGATTAAGTGCAAATGTTTGCATTAATAGTGCAAACTGGGATGGAGAATATAGTGTGCAGCTGAGCAGAAAATGAAACGCACACATATATATACACGCACACACACACATATATACACACACACAGTATGTATATATATATATGTATGTGTGTGTATGTATATATATATATATATATATATATATATATATTTATATATATATATATATATACTGTATATATGTATATATATATGTGTGTGTGTGTGTGTGTGTGTGTGTATATATATATATATATATACTGTATATATGTATATATATATATATATGTGTGTGTGTGTGTATATATATATATATATGTATGTGTATGTATATATATGTGTATATATATATATATATATGTGTATATATATATATATGTGAGTGTATGTATATATATATATATATATATATATAAAGAGAGAGATTCCAATCATAAAAAAAGCATAAAAACTCTAATTCTGGTTAAAATGCAAAGTTGTAAAAATAAAAATGTGTAACAGAAGAAATGGGGAAAGTAGGTTAACAATCGTGTTGCTCAGAATCGTATCGGGTCGTAAAACCCCTAAACTCTCGCATCCCTAATGTCCACACATGTAGTGAAATGCCAATAATCCTCAACTTGTTTTGCTCTTGTGTTGTAGAGAGATGCAGTACACGACGCAGGTCTGCAGATCCTCAGTTTGATCGGCTCTGCAGTGTCTCTGTGCGCTCTCATCTTCACTTTTATTCTCTTTGTGGCCGTCGGGTGAGTTTCTCTCCATATATGAGACTTTATATTCCTGCGTCGGCTCTCATTTGTGTGATTTCTGTCTCTCTGTGTCCCTCTAGTGTCCCGAAGTCAGACCGAACTACAGTGCACAAGAACCTGATGGCAGCTCTGATTGTGGCTCAGTTTCTGCTCATCCTCAGCGACTGGGCGGCGGGAAGCCAGGTTTGACTGATTAATCTGTCAATATATGCATATACAGTCCTCCATAATTGAATTATTAATTGAATTGAGGCTTTACAGTAATATATTTGTGCTTATACAGTTAAAGTCAGAATTATTCGCCCTACAGTATATTGTTTTAATAACTCATCTCTAATAACTGATTTATTTATCTTTGTCATGATGACAGCACATAATATTAGACTAGATATTCTTCAAGACACTAGTATTCAGGTTAAAGTGACATGTAAAGGCTTCACTAGGGTAATTAGGGTAAAGTTAGGGTAATTAGGCAAGTCATTGTATAACAGTGGTTTGTTCTGGAGACAATCCAACACTAATATTGCTTAATAATAGTGACATTAAAATGGCTTTAAAACTATTAAAAACTTTTTTTAAGCCAAAATAAAACAAAGACTTTCTTCAGAAGAACAAATATTATAGGAAATACTGTCAAAAATTCCTGAATCTGCTCAACATCATTTAGGAAATATTTGAAAAAGAAAGACAAAAATCACAGGAGGGCGAATATTTCTGACTTCAACTACATCAGGTTACATTAGTCTACATTAGATTAGTCTGTACTAAAGCCAAAGCTGGAATTAATCTAACAAAATAACTGAAGATCATGGTGCAAACATTAGTACAGGTTAATAAGCCAGAAGGTAATAGCATGAATAATGCACAAGATTAATATAATACAAAAATGTATGCAATAATACGCTAGAGATGTGAACCTACACTGTTCTCACGGTTCGGTTACTATTATCATGAGCCACAGTGCTGCCCTGATATATAATATAATATAATATAATTTAATATAATATAATATAATATAATATAATATAATATAATATAATATAATATAATATAATATAATATAATATAAAATAATATAATATAATTTAATGTAATTTAATATAATATAAGTTAATATAATAAAACTTAATATAATATAATTTAATATAATATAATTTAATATAATGTAATATAATATAATATAATTTAATATAATATAATATAATTTAATATAATATAATATAATATAACTTAATATAATATAATTTAATATAATTTAATTTAATATAATATAATATAATATAAGTTAATATAATATAATATAATTTAATATAATATAATATAATGTAATATAGGGAACACAGTGGCTCAGTGGTTAACACTGTTGCCTCACATCAAAAAGGTTGCTGGTTTGAGTCCCGGCTGGGTCAGTTGGCATGGGTTTCCTCCGGGTACTCAGGTTTCGCCCACAGTCCAAACACATGCACTATACGGCCAATTTAGTTAATCAATTCCCCTAGTTTATGAGTGTTTCCCAGTACGGGGTTGCAGCTGGAAGGACATCAGCTGTGTAAAACACATGCTGGAATAGTTAGCGGTTCATTCAGCTGTGGCGACCCCTGATGAATGGCGACCCCTGATGAATAAAGGGACTAAGCCAAAGAAAAATGAATGATTAATATAATGTAATATAATGTAAAATGAAGTGCAGTGAAATGTAAACATGAAATAGCCACAAAGGAAAGTAAACATAAGTAATGCAGTGTACTTATGGATAAAAGCAGCAGAATTGTGATGTGTGTGTGTGTGTGTGTGTGTGTGTGTGTTCAGGAGGCATGTTGGCTGGTGACAGCGCTCCTTCATCTCTTCTTCTTGTCCTCCTTCTGCTGGATGCTGGTGGAGGGTTTGCTGCTCTGGAGTAAAGTGGTGTCTGTGAACATCAGCGAGGACCGCAGGATGAAGATGTACTATGTGCTCGGCTGGGGTGAGTGAGTGTGTGTGTGTGTGTGTGTGTGTGTGCATTCATTCATTTTCTTTTCGGCTTAGTCCCTTAATTAATCAGGGGTCAACTTATCAGCATATGTTTTACGCTGCGCATACTCTTCCAGCTGCAACCCACCAGTGGGAAACACCCATACACTCCCATTCAAACACACACGCACAACACTACTTACCCTATACCACATGTCTTTAGACTGGGGGGGAAACCGGAGCACCCGGAGGAAACCCACACCAACATGGGGAGAACATGCAAACTCCATACAGAAATGCCAACTGACCCAGCTGATCTTCGAAGCTGTGAGGCGACAGCGCCTCTGTGTGTGTGTGTGTGCATGCATCTCTAGTTTTAATTGATGTTCTGTTTGATTGGTGTTTCTGTCTCTGCTGTGTGTGTAAGGGTTGCCGGTGGTTATAGTGGCTGTGACTTTGGTGGCCACTCTGGACCAGTATAAAGCACAGCAGCACTGCTGGCTGAACCTCCAGTCCAGTGTCATTTGGGCTTTTGCAGGGCCGGTGCTCTTTGTTTTGGCTGTAAGTATGTCTTTTATCTTATTTCAGCTAATAGGATTGTAGAATACTGATGTGTTGTCCTCTCCCATGCACTGCACTCTGAGTTTACCAACTGATGACTTCTGCTGCAGAGAAACACACACATGTGAAAAGGCTCTATACTCTGCTGAGTGTGTGTGTGTGTGTGTGCGCAGGTGAATGCCGTGGTGTTGTTTCGTGTGGTTCTGGTCACAGTGTCCAGTGCTAGGCGCAGAGCCAAGATGCTGACCCCCAGTTCAGACTCCAAACTGCACACGCTGGACCTCACCTGGTGGGTCACACCTGCAGATACAGCAGCAAACAACCGGCAGACATTAACAATAACACATGCTCGAGTGAGCAGCTGCAGTGTTTCTGTACTGGGTGCAGATGTAAAGTCACTCCAGTTATTCGCTAAATGTACTCAAATGTTTAGAAAGACTTAATCTGTTTTGTTAGATATTTCCTAAATGATGTTGAACAGATTCAGGAATTGTTCACAGTATTTCCTATAATATTTGTTCTTCTGGAGAAAGTCTGATTTGTTTTATTTCGGCTAGAATAAAAGCAGTTTTTAATTGTTTTAAAGCCATGTTAAGGTCAATATTATTAACCCCTCTCTGTTAAACAGAAATTGGAGCCAAAATATACAAGAGGGCTAATAATTCTATTTTAAATTTCTATGTATATATATTTTTAACATAATGTATGTGTGTGTAGGGCAGCGACGCGGCCCGTGTTGATCTTGTTGCCAGTTTTAGGACTGACGTGGCTCTGTGGTGTGCTGGTCCATTTATCTGATGTCATGGCCTACCTGTTCATCACACTCAACGCTTTTCAGGTAACACACACAGTACGCATGCTAGGCTAACAAACATATCTGCTAGCATGCGGTCAAGTGAAACAAACAGCTTAAGTAGTAGGAGGAAAATAGCTCATTTGTGAATAAGCTTTGTTTCCATCTAGCTGGTGTAGTTGTATAGGTCGTAGTAGTAGTTGTAGTCATCATCGTTGTAATAATAATAATAATATTAGTTGTAGTTGTAGTCGTCATCATCGTAATAATAATAATAGTGGTAGTAGTCATCATCATCGTAATAATATAAATAGTAGTAGTTGTAGTCGTCATTGTCGTAATAATAATAATAGTAGTAGAAGTCATAGTAGTAATAGTAGTTGTCATTGTCATAATAATAATAGTAGTAGTCGTCATCGTTGTAATAATAATAATAATCGTAGTAGTAGTCGTAGTAGTAATAGTAGTTGTAGTTGTCATCGTCATAATAATTATAGTAGTAGTAGTAGTCATCGTCGTAATAATAGTAATTGTAGTAGTAGTAATAGTAGTTGTAGTTGTCATCGTCATAATAATAATAATAATAGTAGTAGTATTAGTCGACATTATTGTAGTAGTAATAATAATAGTAGTAGTAGTAATGGTAATAATAGTAGTTGTCATCTTCGTAACTAATAATTGTAGTAGTGGTAGTTGCAGTCGTCATTGTTGTAATAATAATAAAAGTAGTTGTGGTCATCATCATCGTAATAATAATAATAGTAGTAGTCATCGTCGTAATAATAATAATAGTAGTAGAAATATTAGTTGTAGTTGTCATCGTCATAGTTAAAGTAGTAGCATTAGTCAACATTGTCGTAATAATAGTAGTAATGGTAAAAATAGTTGTAGTTGTCATTGTCGTAACTAATAAAAGTAGTAGTGGTAGTTACAGTCGTCATTGTCGTAATAATAATAAAAGTAGTTGTGGTCGTCATCGTCGTAATAATAATAATAGTAGTAGTAGTAGTCATCATCATCATAATAATAATAATAGTAGCAGTAAATGTAGTAGTAATAGTAGTTGTAGTCGTCATCGTCATAATAGCAGTAGTAGTAGTAGTAGTCATCGAAATAGTCGTTGTCATCATAATGATAATAAAAGTAGTAGTCATATATAATATACTTAAAGGGCTAGTTCACCCAGAAATGTTAAATCTGTCATAATGTACTCATATAGTCATATTCACTCGTCAGCAAACCTGTTTGAGTTTTTCTTTTGTTGAACACTAAAAATATTTTGAAAAATGTTTGAAACCGGTAACCATTGACTTTGATAACATATATTTTTATACCATGGATGTCAGTGGAACATTCTTCAAAGTATCTTCTTTTGTGTTCAACAAAAAAAGAACTCATAAAACCCCTTTCAGGTGAATAAATAGTGAGTAAATGTTCACTTTTGTGTGAACCATCCCCTTAATATTGACCTGTTTCTGATTTTTTTTTTCCCCCCTGTATCCGGGCAGCTGTAACTCCTACTTGTTATGAAAGGCTCGGATCCGTCAACACATTACAAATGAACTTCATGTAGTTGTGTTTCTGTCTTTTTCTTCCTGCGCCGCTGTAATAAATGAGAGTGGAGTTCCTCCCTGAGCTTGTTAATGTAGATTTACTGTGAGCGTCTGGGAAACAGATAAAAGCAGCAGCAGGCAGATAGAGACGCTTGAGCAGCTCCATCATCGCTGGAAATCTCTTCTGTCACGAGTGTTTTATAATGCAAGAGCTACACTGTGTTTCAGTATGAATTATATTTAGAAGTAAATAGCAAGTACTGAGTTATTTTGGTGTTTTGGCTCAAACAAAACTATTTAATTTATTATAGGTATTATTTAATGACTTTTAGACTCATTTTTTTTCTTGTTGAATCATAATTTATTATAATACAAGAGCTACAGTGTGTTTCAATATGAATAATGTTTAAAAATAAATAGCAAATAATTATTGTTATGTTTTTTTGTATTTTTTTTCAGTCTTTTAATGAGTTAAGGTTATTATTTAATCAGATTTAGACTTGTTTTTTCCTGGTTTGTCATGATATATTATTACTTGCAATTTGTTTATGTATATAATTCAAATGAAAACACACTGTAGCTCTTGTATTATGTCTGCATTTACACTGCACTGTTCAAGTGACTCAAGTCCGATTGTTTCTCCCATGTGGCACAGATGGGATATGGCACATGTACGTGTAAGCAGGAACACATCACATGGATTCCGATTTACTCAAATCAGATTCAGGCCTTGTTCATATGTGGAAATATATCCGATATGATTAGATCTGTGTTCTCGTGTCTGCAGTGTAAACACGGAGATTGGATTTTCACCAGTCAATGCGAGTCGTGCATCATTAAAAACCATAGCAAATGATGTCAAGCCTGACACTTTCATTTCAGAACAGATTTCAGCAAAGTCCCAAACCTTAAATCTCATACACGAGGACTTAAACAGTGTGATATAGCACAGGTATTTAAGCATGTTAACGGGAGCGAGAGAGAGCTCAATGTGTGCCACTTAACCAATGTAAACTAATATAAAACTAGTGCATAAATCACACCATGGACATTACATTAAGATGCCTAAAGGTTTAAAAAAGCCTATATAACAAAAGAAGATGACCAAATGAGAATATTTCTGTTATAAACTAGCGTGAAACAGCTTGTCAAAAGCTGCAAACAGATCACATAGAGGAATAGAGAAAAGAGCACTCTTTATTTATCAGCTGTTAGTCAGCGCCTGCTCTTTTTTTTTTTTTTTTTAAATTCCTGGTCACTGCCGTGTGCTGTGTAAATGCAGATAATCGGACACAAGTCACTTTTAAAAAATGATGTAAACAGGTCATTAAAAAAATCAAGATACAGTCACAAAATCAGAATTAAGCATTAAGATCTGCAGTTTAAATGCAGCCTATGAGTTATTTTTTTTTTTTTTTTGGATTTTGGCACAGAAAACAAAGTGTTTTAATTTGTTAAGGTTGCTATTTAATAACTTTTAGACTTGTTTTCCCTGCTTTATCATATTATATTATAATACAAGAGCTGCAGCACTGCAAAAATGCTTTTCTTACTTTTCTCTCTTGTTTCTAGTCCAAATATCTACAAATTCTTAAATCAAGAAGCATTTTCTAGACGAGCAAAACATATTGTCTTGTTTTAAGAAATAATATGCCAAAATGAAGTGAGTTTTTCTTTAAATTAAGCTAAATAATCTGCCAATGGGGCAGGGAAAATAATCTTGTTTTTTCATTTGTGATAAGATTATTTTGCTTAATTTAAGGAAAAACTCACTTCATTTTGACTCATTATTTCTTAAAACAAGACAACATGTTTTGCTTGTCTAGAAAATGCTTCTTGATTTAGGAACTTTTAGATATTTGGACCAAAAACAAGACAAAAAAAATCTAAGTAAGAAAAGCATTTTTTGCAGTGAGTGTGTTTTAATATAAATGATGTTTATCAATAAAGAGCAGGTGATTAGTTATGTTTGTATTTTGGCTCAGTCCAAAGCCATTTCATTTGTTAAGGTTATTATTTATTAATTTTACACTTTGAGTTTTCCCTGTTTTATCTTGAATTACTCAACTAAATCTTATAGACTTATAAAATTCAGCAAATATGTTACGTTTTTTTTTTTTATTGCAAATATTTGAGTTTTTTCATGCTCTGCTTGATTTTTATGTGCAGTTCTTTTTTTGTTTGCAAATTTCATTTTTATTTCTTAATTTTCCCTTTGCAGTTCTTTATTTTTGTCAGCAAAATAAATTTTTATTTCTCAAATTATTTTTTGCTTTGCGATTCTTTTGAGATTTGCATTTATTTATTTATTGATTTCAATACATTATGTTTGCAAAACTTTCTTTTATTCTGCAAGTATAAATGATTAGATTGACTCCATAGTTTATGGTGGAAAATTGTCCCAAAATGTTTTTAAACCAACAGTGTTCAAAACTATTCATGTGTTTGTTTGTTTACATTACATTACAATGACCCTTAAACACCTTTATGAATCAACAGCATCTTAAAATAATCGTATAATTGTGTAAGTGTTCACGTTGTTCACTAATCATGCAACTCTTCTCACTGTAGGGCCTGTATATCTTTCTGGTGTATGCCGTTTACAACAGCGAGGTATGAACTTTGGCTGTGTCTCAATTCACAGGCTGCATCCTTCAAAGTACGCACACTTCCCTTTAAAGTTCACAAAGGCTGAAGCGAATGCGGTGAAATGAGATGCTCTCGCCTAAAAAGGACTTCTGTTAACCCTTAAAAGGGATCGTTTACGTCCGATCTGCAACTCTCTTTAGACTTTTTAACACTATGACTGACTGATACTGTCAGCAGATACTCTGATTGCCTGTTCTGTTTTCACAACTCGACTCCTGCCATTAGTGTTTATTTTCAGCTCTGCTCCAGCCAATAGCAGAAAAGCACCTACTGGGGAGGCGGGAATAAAGATACTAAAGCCCCATCAGATTGGTCAAAATTTGAATAACCTGTGCATGCAACACACGAATGCTTCCCACAGAAAATACATTTAATTTATGCGGTACAGATATTGTATATACTAAAATTGTGATGATAATAAGTTTACTTTGAATGCATGCTTTAAAGGATACAGCGATGTTAACATCTCAGAGCTTTATACTTGTATGATTTCCAATGTAAATGTCATGCAGTATATGTTTGTGATAACGCAGGTGCGCAACGCTATCAGGAGGATTCAGGAGAAGAGGAAAGCTCTGTCATTTACAGTAAGAGTTCTGTTTCCTGATTGGACACTTCTGGGGTCTCATTCATAAATGTGCTGAAATCTATGAAAACATTTAGGAGGAGAATGTGCAAAGCTGTAACATATTAAAGTTAAGTATTGACTTAAGTCATTGCATCAAGTCAAGTCGAGCTTTATTGTCATTCCCCTGCATGTGTGGACATACAGAGGAGCGAAATATCGTGTCTCGCAGGACAACAGTGCTACATAAATTAATCATAAATACAAACGCAACACCTCTGCATAACTAATGCATACTATAAGATACTTAGCTATACACATGAGACAGGCTCTACAAGTACTTTTAGATGAGTATGAACAATGCTGTGCAGGATATTGTGCAAGAGAGCTATTAAAGGTGAATATTGTGCAAAAGAGGGAGTTAAGGTTAAAGCAAGCAGGGCAACATGATTGTGGAACATTTATAGTGAACATCGCTTTCATTATTGAGTCCTTGTACGATGGAGTTTAGATAAAGTATCAGGTGCATAAGAGATCAGAGTGTTTCTACATGGTTTGAGCCGAAATCGGTATCTCTACTTGTTCTTATAGGACACCTATTTTACCCCCTTTTTAAGATGTAATCATAATGTTGTGGTTGTTCTAAGTGCGCCAGTTTAGCTTCAGTTCAAACACAATTCAGATATCTTATTATAATGTGTTTAAAGTGTGTCGTTGGGGGCGTGTTGCTTCACATGAAAATTTGTTTCGACTTCCCGCCCAACTTAACGAGGGGGCGGAGCCAAGAGCTCACCCGCTTTGTGTGTGGAAACAGAGAGAGAAGCAACATGAGTGAGAGGAGCAGCATTCAACCGTACATGTACAACTCGGACACAGACCAAGCAGAGACAACTGTTAAGGAATCAGTATTCCTAATGTGACAGAACATGTTTGATGAATGAGTGGTAGATATAAAATCATTTGTGATTATTTTTTTTTGTATAGTTTTACAGCCGCTATGTAACGATGCATGGGTCATCCGTATAGGGATGCAATGAATAACCGGTTTCACTAATAACCGCGCTTTAATTCGTCACGGTTAATTAATCAAGGCTTTTCAACACAGTGTTTCTGCACGGAAAAAACTGCGGCAGCTAAACAAAGTGATGCCAACTGTGTGCTAGAGTTGGCTTGAGAAAGCCAGCATACTGTTATACTACTCTGTCCTTGAAAACAAACGTATCTCCTCCTAGGCCGTTCATGCCACAAGGCCCAAATGTGGTCAAAATGTGCCTTCTGCATTCAAGATTGTTGCTATATCTCCTCATGCCTATAAGACTTATTGTTTTTTTAATAAAAAATGTTAAATATAAAATTTTTATAATCCGGGCATATAGAAAAATTATACAAGCCCCAAATTTGGCCAAAAGCTGTATTTAGATGCGGTAGATTTTGTTGCTATATCTTTAAGGTTTATCAGACTTATAGTTTTCCAATAATAAATTTTAAGCATTATTTTTCTCAAAATATGGCAAGCCATTTTTGACTTAAACTCCATATTTTTACTGATATGGCAAGCCATTTTTGCATTTATCACTTTCACACTTATTAAGCATTGTATTTTCAAAAAAATACGGCAAGCCATTTTTACATAATGTTCATTACCTTAGTCCCTTTATTAATCAGGGGTCGCCACAACGGAATGAACCGCCAACTTATCCAGCATTTGTTTTACACAGCGAGTGCCCTTCCAGCCACAACCCAACACCAGGAATACATAATGTTCAAGTCCAGTTTTTGACACTCATAAAGACTGTCATAGAAACATCGGGGTTGATTAAGATCACTCATATTGCCAATAAGCTTTGATGTATCATCACCAACCTGTCAAATGTCCCCATAGCAATAAAACAGTATAACCTAGCAACCATTTAAAAACAGCAATATCTCTACATCAGAACATCGTAGGGACCTGGGCATTGGCTTGTTTGACTCATGCTAGCAAATGGGACTTCCTGTGTACTATGCATGGTAACAATGATAATGGAAGCCAAGTGCTAATAACGATTAGCTACATGCTATGAATGATTATCTAAATGCAATAACATATGCTAGAAATGCCTACTAAGTATTAGCATTTGATCAAACATGTACACGAACATTGCCATTTAGCAACTGCTTAGCAACCACCTAACAATGCCATAATTGTTTTAGCAACTGCCTAGCAACCACTTAGCAACCGCCACCGTGCTTCCTGCCAACTGCCATTCCTAGTCCTAGCGCAGTCACGTTGGCTTTCTCAAGCCAACATCAAAGTTTATCAATAAACTTTAGGTTCTAGTTTAAAGTTGCGAGCTTTTACACAGAGACTAATAATTAAGACCAGACAGAATCTGCAGATGTTTTTTTGCTATTTCTGTAGAGAATTTTGGTAAAAATGTGTGGATTTTTACGGAATTATTTTTGGAGTATCATAACTAAAACCTTAATATATGAAATAAAAAATTATATATTTTTAACTTTTATTTAATCTTTAAAATGCAAATGCAATTAGATTAACTTTATTTGGTTAATAAAGCAAATTTTGTCATATAATAAATCTAGTAAAAGACAGAACATATTACTGTACAAACTGCATTGTACGTAAATCAGATGAATATTTTCACATTAGTCAAAAATATTTCTGAAATTAATAAAAATCTGAATAAATAAAGATTTACACATTTACTCAAGTAAATAAACAGAATTAATGATGGCCTAAAAATCGCGCAGATTCCAGATGGTTCTACTAATAACCACGCACACTGGATTAACTTTGACTGAGGGTAAAACTAAGGCAAGTTCCTTATTTCCAATGGAGGGACGTGCACGAGAGGCAACGCGCTCACTTTCCAGCTGCACTAGTTGAGATGACCGGGAGCTTCTGTGACCATGGGAAATGCAAACGGCTGAAGTTTAAGGAAGAGGCAATGAAAATACACATGTTTGCAAACCCACCTAAAGATACAAACACTGATGCCGATGAGAGCGATCATGTGGTGAATGTTGATCCGCCAGCCGGAGAGAGTGCTGAAAGACTCGCAGTGGATCTGCTGTTTTTACTGCCCTGAATCTCGATATGTTGCAAATGTAAAATCTTTGTTGCTCATTTGCAGGAAGACGATGAAGGCTCTTGTGTTGAGCCCAATGAGCCTTACATCCTAAAATAGAGCAAGGATGCTCCTATGGTGACATCGCTTTGATTCACACTCTGAAAATGGCGAACGTGATGCAACAAACTGAGGATATAGTAATGTGCGCCTATCAGTCAATATTGGTGGACTTGACTACGTCAAGTTGCAGTCAGTCTCAAAACCGCTCCAATTGGTCCAACGTTACGATGTTAAATTGAAAAAAAAAATGACTGGGTGTGTTTATAATCACCCCAATATGATGATCTATACACTTAATCTAATCACATGTCTGTCCAAACAGCTGGAAAAGTAGATTTTCCCCTTTTTGTACCCTTTAAGACATGAAACCTTTTTAAGAATGAGATTTTATGCATGCTTATGACAACTGTTATTAAGTGTCATTTGCTTAGTTATGATATTTTAGAAGTGATAACGCTAATCGAACTGTACTATAAGATGTAAAATGGGGTCATGTAAGTAACATTCAAAAAGCAACTCATGTAAACACCTTCATCATCATATTATTGTCTTATTCAGATTAAGGTCATTGCTGTCCATGTAAGCATACTGAGTGTTACTGCACTGACGTGTGATGTCGTTTCCTCCTGCAGAACTGCTCTCAGCCAATCAGCTTTTTACCCTCTCAGAAATCCCCCAGAGCATCATGGGTGCACAGTCTGCAGACGCACTCCAGTCGGGACAGCAGCGAGAGTTCGACTCCCATGAGCTCCTGCAGCGGCGGAGGTTCACTCGGGTACAAGAATGGTGTGTGAAAAGTAAATCAGGGTCACGCTGAGGTGTTTAACATCCACAGTTGAAGAACAATTTCCAAATATTTCCCAAATGATGTTGAACAGATTCAGCAATTTTTCACAGTGTTTCCTCTAATATTTGTTCTTCTGGTGAAAGTCTGATTTGTTTTATTTCGGCTAGAATAAAAGCAGTTTTTAATTGTTTTAAAGCCATGTTAAGGTCAATATTATTCGCCCCTTCAGCAATATTAGTGTTGGATTGTCTCCAGAACAAACCACTGTTATACAATGACTTGCCTAATTACCCTAACTTTACCCTAATTACCCTAGTGAAGCCTTTACATGTCACTTTAAGCTGAACACTAGTGTCTTGAAGAATATCTAGTCTAATATTATGTGCTGTCATCATGACAAAGAGAAAATAAATCAGTTATGAGTTAGATGAATTATTAAAACTATTATGATTAGAAATGTGCTGAAATAAGTTTTTTTCCATTAAACAGAAATTGGGGGGAAAGTATACAGAAGAGCGAATAATGCTGTCTTCAACTGTATGTCACTTCTTTTCTTCCGGCAGAGCGTTTTAAAGAGGACAGCATCGTGAGCTTTCCATTAAAAGCAGCCAGCAGGAGTCAGGTGGGAAAACCCTGCATTAAGCTTTACATTTTTCACTGAAATATTAGCCTGTCAGTCACCAATAGCAGACCACACCCATCCAATCAATGGACCCTTAGAAAAACATAAGCCCCGCCTACTATACGCACCGCAGAGAATGCTAGTCTTAAAGCAGTTCTAGTCAAACACCTGCAAATATTGAAATCAATTATTTATTGAAATAATTATTATTTATATGAGTAAAAAATATTTTGTTTTAGGAAATAATAAGTAAAAAATTAAGTGAGTTGTTCCTTAAATAGGCTAGATAATTAATTCATTCACTTTTAGTTGGCTTAATCTCGAGGAAACACCCATACACACTCAATCAAACACACACTCATGCACTACAGCCAATTTAGTTTATTCTATAGCGCATGTGTTTGGACTGTGGGAGAAACCGGAGCACCCGGAGGAAACCCACACCAACATGGGGAGAACATGCAAACTCCACATAGAAATGCCAACTGACCCAGCCGGGACTCGAACCTCTGACCTTCTTGATGTGAGGCCATCATGCTACCCACTGCGCCACCGTGACACCCTAATTATTAACAATAATTTAAAAATTACTATAATTGCAATTAGATGTGTTTCAGTTTGTTCTGCCTTTTTAAATCCCTGCGTGTGGATTAAATGCCTGTGTGTAGTAGTTAAAGCCACTAAATGTAGTGTGTGTGTGTGTGTGTTGTTTCAGGTGGTTCAGCTGATAGCCTTTAAACCTTCAGGTAAACTGCATTATATTAATCACTGGTAGAATACATCAACATGGAGGAGTAAAATATTTCTGTGCATGGATATACATATAATTAGCAACCCTGATACAAATACACTACAGTTCAGTGTGTAGCAAATAAACTACACTACCTGACAAAAGTCTTGTCGCCTATCCAAGTTTTAGCAACAGTAAGTACTTACTGGACTTCTAGTTGATGATTTGGTGTCAGAAGTGGCTTATATGAAAGGTAAAGGCCTCTAGATGACGCTTATTTGACCATAATAAAATATGATCATGTCTTGATTATGAATGATTTGATTAGGACAGTGCGGTCTGACTCTGCTTAGACTAAAGTCTCATCACTGAACAGAAATAATGTCCAGTATAGAATATAAAGTCCTGCTGCAGTGGAGACAGAATGAATATTGTGTCTGACTCCATCATGAGCTTGGAGGACTGCATCCATACATCTCTGACATGACTCACATCACTGATTAATAAAGTCATCTGGAATGAAGAAGAAAGCCTTCAGCAGGACTCCCAGAGTTCATCAAGACTCTTTGTGTTCATCTTCAACGCCTCCTCCTTCATCTTACCCCAGACATGCTCAATAATGTTCATGTCTGGTGACTGGGCTGGCCAATCCTGGAGCAGCTTGACCTTCTTTGCTTTCAGGAGCTTTGATGTGGAGGCTGAAGTATGAGGAGCGCTATCCTGCTGGAGAATTGTCCCTCTCCTGTGGTTTGTAATGTAATGGGCAGCACAGATGTCTTGATACCTCAGGCTGTTGATGTTGCAGATCTCTCGCACGCCCCCATACTGAATGTAACCCCAAACCATGATTTCTCCTTCACCAAACTTGACTGATTTCTGTGGGAATCTTGGTCCATGCTGGTTCCAGTAGGTCTTCTGCAGTATTGGTGATGATTCAGAGGAAAAATAGACTTCTGACTCTTTTCAAGTTATTGTTGCTCTTACAACTGAGATCGACGACAAGACTTTCATCAGGTAGTGTATTTAAACTTTAGATGTGCGCAAACATAACTTTTTTATTAATTATGCACTCAAAATAGGGCCGGTTCTAGTAAATCTAAAACACATGCTTTCAGATGGAGCAGCATTTACTATACGGAGCCATAAGCTATGCAAAACTGCATTTCACATCAGTTTAATCAGACGATAGCGGCGTTGAAGTAACTATTCTGTTTGCTGTTTCTGCACACAGGCTGCTGAGGAGAAATAACACACTACTTGTGCACAGATGAAGACTGAAAACTGCTCCAATCCTCCAGAGTGAGTGAACAATCCAGAACAGCAGCGTTCACAGAGACTTGACATGAGATTAATGCTCATAATACACAGACTGAGACTTATGTTCACACCATTAACCCTGAGCGACCACACGACACTGGCTTTCTCTGGAGTATCTCGTATCTGAAAACTTCACGTACACAAACCTTGCACACTGAGTCCATATTAAGTACGCCATTATGAAACAAAACAAGTCAGCGATGCGGTGTTCTCCTCGCTCTTCTTAAGAGTGGAAAGAGGAATTGGCTATATATTTTGTTCATCCAAAACTAGGAGAGTTCAGCTCGTTATCGATAAAGAGCTTAGAATGACCAAGAGACAACACTCAATAGAGCATTGCCTCAAACAGCAGCGCCCAGCAACAGCCCCGGATCCCGCCATTTTGGAGTGAAAGCGATCAGCCGTTCATTGGATCTCATTCTGAGATGGCGAGCAGCTGCTTTGTTTTTCATTTATTTATTTAAAAGGCGCATTAAAGCTGAGATACAACCTGAAAGACGACAATACAACACTTTCTATCACAATCATCAGCACTTTCAATAGTTTATTTCACAGATTTGTATTATGCTGTTGTTCTATTGGAGTTTTCCTGTTAAATGGCTGCTGCGCCATCTAGTGGCTGTTTCCCGAATTGCACTAGAGTGTCGCCTCTTGCTGATTCTATGCTCTTTGTTATTGAAAAGCTGCTCTGGATTATCCACAAATACAAAGTGTATTTCAGGAAATGAGTGAAATGTTGATATATTTGATGTATATTTGTAAAATCCTGAACAGTCATTATAACACATGATGCGTCTGCGCTTGACTGAGGGCGTGTCTGAAGTTGGGGCTGATGCGATCATCATAGCAGCCAATGAAATTATTCCACAATCCGCTACTGTCTGAGCTGGGGTATTTGCATAAAGCGATTTAATTGGCTGACGCTTCAGTTGGAGCTTGAAAAGTTGAAAAATCCCCGCTTGAATCTGCGCCAGCGAATCCACAATTCTGTTCGACAACGCTTGACGTCTCCCATTTAAAGTGTATGGTAAACATTGACGCTGACGCCTCCTGTGAATGAGGCGTAATAGATAGTGGCCGTGTTGATATATCCGCGTTGACAGGGATGAAGTGCGCCAGTCACTGAATCAAGCTGTCCGCCACATTCTGGCTTATTTTCTGCAGTGTGTTTGTTATGACGTGATCTGTGGCTGAAGTGACGCCATCTTGTATTTTGCCTTTAGCTTGTACGGTGGCTCTAAACTGTCGAAACACCTCTCAACACACTTGTTCAGATGCGAAAAACAGGAGTCAAACCAGATTTGATAGTCGTATGACAGACAAGAGTTTTGGAGGCAGTGTGTCAATACGAAATCGAGTTTATTTCTTAACATGTGAAAATTACGAACAAAAATTTCGGATTCGGTAAGCAATAACCTTTACCTCGGGGTGAGATCATGTGCAGCCTGTTTATGAACATGTAAAGAGAGTATTACACTGTATTTTTACACTTTTACCAGAGTATTAAGGCCCATGCACACTGAGACGTTTTTTGCTTGCGTTTTCCGTCGACGTTTAACGCCTCGTGACTAAATAAAGGGCGTCAATGTGATCGTGCACACCAACTCGCAAAACCCCAGGCGCAAAAGCGTCATTTAAAAAAAAAAAACGCCTCATGCTCGTTTGTTTTGACGCGCCACGTTAAAACCTTCTCCACCAATCAGATTGGCACTATTGTTCACGTGCACGGAGCTGCTGAAGTTACAGTAAACAGCACTTGGAGGCGCTCAAGCGCACATTGAAGACGACATGAACGTAGAGCTGCTTATTGCTCTGCTGAACAATAATCATTTCTTCATCGCTAAAGCTGGAGCTGCTGCTTGAACCATCCATGCTTGTTCGAGTCACCAGTAACTTTAACAACAAGCGTGTGAACTTCCTCTCCTCTTCTTCTGTGTTATAAGCGGGTGTCGGAAGCTTAAAGTTGTGTAGCGCCATCTATCGTCAAAGAGTGATTTTGCATACTCTTCAGCTTGACGCCAGTGAAAAGCGCTTGGGTTTGAATACGGATAAACGTCTCGTAAAACGCTAACGATAAACAAACGAAAAGCGTCCCGGTGTGTTGGAGCCTTTACACCGTGTCCTAACTACATGTGATGCCACAAGATTTTATCGACAAAGCAATTTGTTTGTCTGCACGACAAAACACGACAGAAACATTTAAGTAGCCGGCACTGCACTTCTAATGAAATGGTAAGGGTAATCGTCTAAATCCACATTACACCTGCAGTATTCCACATTATTACAAGTACATCAGCTACTGAGTGACTGATGCTGTTGATTTGCACTGAGTTTGACTTTTATTTTCAAAGCGTCTGCAAGTTATTTTATTTTCCAGATCTGAGGTGAACTATGCTGCTGCTTTTAGTAGTTTGGCAATAAATGTCCTGTGAAATATATATATATATATACACATATACACACACTATGAGCTAAACCATACATATATATATTATATATATATATATATATATATATATATATATATATATATATATATATATATATATATATATATATGTGTGTGTGTGTGTGTGTGTGTATACGTGTGTATATATATATATATATATATATATATATATATATATATATATATATATACATATATATATATATACATACATACATACACACACTGGCCACTTTATTAGGTACACCTTACTAGTACCGGGTTGGACCCCTTATGCTCTCAGAACTGTCTTAATCCTTCATGGCGAAGATTTGGCAAGATACTGGAAATATTCCTGAGGGATTTTGCTCCATATTGTCATGATAGCATCACACAGTTGCTGCAGATTTGTCGGCTGCACATCCATGATGCCAATCTCCCGTTCCACCACATCCCAATGTGTCCTCGGGTGTTTGTTTTCAATGTCAAACTTGCAAAGTCTGAACTTAAGGAAAGGATGAAGAACTTTGTGCATTTGATATTGAGGAAAAGCTCCAATCAGATAAGTGAATGTCTGCAGCCACGCTTCTGTTTTTAGATGTTTCCGTTTCCCCATCCACACTGACACAGAGCAGCAGCAGCATTCTAAAACCAAAACGGCCTATTCGGCGTTTCCAAAACACTCCAGAGGTTTAGTGTGGATGGATGGTGCAACCGTAACAAATATTATGCATTTTAAAACTAAAACATATTGGTGTAAATGGGGCCACACACACACACACACACACACACAGTTTTTACACACAACAAACAAACAACTTGCATTTCATTCTATTTTATTGCAACCAAATAGTTGTCAGGTGAATGTTAAGAAATAGAGGTGGTCATCTGTGTAAAAATGTGCTTTAAATACTGGTCACATCACTTTAATAAATACCTTCTCTTTTATTACACTCATTTCTGGACTCTTTCGTAATATTTGTTTTAAATAGCTGCTGAATAAATGCATTCGACAAACAAAAGTAGAAAACTCCTCATCCGCTGGAAAGCAGAAAGAGACAGAAATAAGCCTTTAAATGAAACGGCAGAGATTACACAGGAAGTAGAGCATTTCTCTCGTTTTCCAGTACAAACATCTAAACAAGCTGGATTTACTGCGCAAGTCTGAAATGGATCAATAATCATCCAAATAATCAAGTCTGTATGTTTCAGTCTGTATTTTGTATTAGAAAATATGGCAGCTCAGTGGTTTGCAACGTGGCTTCACAGCAACAAGATCGCTGGTTCGAGCTTTGACTGGGTCAGTTGGCATTTCTGTGTGGAGTTTGCATGTTCTCCCTGTGTTGGCGTGGGTTTTCGGCTGCTCCGGTTTCCACAAGTCCAAACACATATAGGGGAATTGATGATTGAAGTTGGCCGTCGTGTATGTGTGTGAATGACAGTGTATGGGTGTTTCCCAGTACTGGGTTGCAGCTGGAACGGCATCCCCTGCATAAAACATGCTGGAATAGTTGGCGGTTCATTCCACTGGGGAAACCCTTTGATAAATAAGTGACTAAGCTGAAGGAGAATGAGTGATTTTAGACAGCGATGGGTTTTTGGTTACAAGTCACAAACACTTGTCAAGCTCATATATTATAATTAAATGTAAAGTAACGAGAGAAATGTTTGTAAATAAATTATAATTAATGTAAAAAAAATATTTAGACAAATTCTGTGTGTAACTGTACGTCATAAGAGTTCACAAGTGGTGTAATAACTCCAGTAACACTGTATGAAGGGTATCTTAAATGTGTCTTAGGAATCTGTAGACATGTGCAATGGAAAACAGGCACAGAAACACTTGATCTGCTGCAGCGAATAGGAAAAGAGCACTATGAAGGAAACACGATGCGCATATAAAAACTGCTGAGCATCCGTCAGTGATTGTCTTGCAGGAGGAGTGTGTGTCTTCACACTGCAAAATCATGCTTTTCTTAGACTTCGTCTTGTTTCTAATACAAATATCTGAAAATTCTGCAATCAAGAAGCATTTTATAGACAAGAAAAAATATTGGATAGTTTAAAAAAAAAAAAATACTGTCATTTTCAGTGATAATGAATCAAAATAGAGTTTTTCCCCTCAAAAAAAGCAATAAAAATTTTTTTCCATACTGAAACCAACCTTATATTTAGTTTACCCCATTAACACATCAGTTTGCTTGTTTAAGCCTGGTTTATTGGTCAGGTTGACTCCCCTCTGCTGATGTTATGGGCTGTTTTTGCTCCATTGACTTCCATTATAATCACATGTTTTGATCGCAGCCATGACAGCATATAATCATGACCAGGGCCAGACGGAATCTGCGAACGTTTTCAAGTAGGTATTGATGCAGCCCGGAAACCTGCAAGTGGGAGGGATTACACCGCAAGTAGGTTGGGTGACCTCCAAGTGGGAGGAACTTAAACCACTAGTAGGTTGGGTTTATCAGGTTACTGTGGCATTGGGTTTAGGTGTAGACGTTCATTAAACACAACAGGTTACAGTGAGATTGGGTTTAGGGTTGGGTTTAGGTGTAGACGTTCATTAAACACAACAGGTTACAGTGAGATTGGGTTTAGGGTTGGGTTTAGGTGTAGACGTTCATTAAACACAACAGGTTACCGTGAGATTGGGTTTAGGGTTGGGTTTAGGTGTAGACGTTCATTAAACACAACAGGTTACCGTGAGGTTGGGTTTAGATGTACACATTCATAAAGCACAATATTGAACTCTAAACACGACTAAATAAGGTTTGCACAGCCCACTTGTAGCTGGCTCCGACCTCCGTTTATACCCTTCTCAACATTTTTGGCTATTTCCGCAGAGAATTTTGGTAAAAGTCTGCACTATTATTTTGGGAGTATCATAACTAAAACCTTAATATATAAAATAAACAAATAATATATTTTAACTTTTATTTCATGTTTAAAATGCAAATCCAATTAGATTCACCTTATTTGTTAAATAAAGCAAGTTTGTCATATAATAAATCTAGTAAAAGACAGAAAATAATACTGTACATAAATCAGATGAAAATTTTCACATTAGTCAATAATATTACTGTGATTAGTTTAAAAACTGAATAAGTATAAATTTACACACATTTACTCCAGTAAATAAACTTGGGGTTCGTTCTTCGTACGTGGATTACTCAGTTAGCTGGATTTGGATATTGATGATTTGACATGATCCAGGATCGTTTCGTTCTTCAAAGCTGATCCGAGAGTTGTTGTCATAGCAACAGTTCTGCTAGCTCAAACCTGGTCGGGAGCAGGCTCAATTCATAAACAGGATTAGATCGGCTCAGTTCAAGCAACAATAATACTGAAATATGTACCGCATTCTGATATTCTCTTACAGTAGTGGTTATACACACTTGGGAAAATGGTGAATATTTTTTAACTATATATAAATTTAAAAATATTTATATATATTAATAAAACTTAAGTAATCTGCACCCCCGAAGTGAAGGTACAAAGACTGCCACCTGGTGGAGCAAAGAGAAAACTTAATGGTATGAACTGTTTAGATCGCTTTAGTACAATTTGTGTATGATAATAGACGTGCACAATATGTGACTTTTTAAAAGCAATAATACATTTATGCAGTCATAAACATGTTTTGGCAGTTAATATATGACGGTGATTTGATGCTTCATAAAAGTTGCAGACGCCTTTACCAATATCAAAATGCTTTTGTAAAAAATAGTTATTCTTTACACCGATTAAAAAACCGGCTACAATAATACTACTATAATAAGGAAAATCCGCTAACTGTAAAACTAAATATGTATGTTCTTAACTGTTTGTTCTTAATTGTTTTGTTTTATTTATTTTTACTGTCTGTTTAGACAATGTTGTAGCACCTTTTATGCCCAAGACAAATTTCCTCTCGGGGACAAATAAAGTTAAACCTAAACCTAAATAAATTGCTCTTGACAAATGAAAGAGCCAAGCATACAGCCCACAACAAGGTGTAAAGTTATTGCGTATCATATTTAACAAACCGTTGACTGCGAATTTTGCTCACATGGATAATTGAATATTAATCAGATGATGTCATTACGCTGCTGTGCCGTCAGCCAATCGTTGCATTGCTGATCATGATTTCGAGGATGGATAGATCTGTCCTTCACAACACACGCAGCGATCTCAGATCAGTTCCAGACATTCTAATCTGATTCGCGAACTTGTTTGAAGAACCAAATTAGCGAGAGATCAGTTATCAAGATTAACAGATCCAGGATCTGCCAAATCATCTTCGATCATTTAAGCGAGGTACGAAGAACGGACCTTTGGTCCTGTTGACTCCCCTCTGGTGATGTTATGGGTGTTTATTGCTACATTGACTTCCAACAGCAGGTGGCACTGTCTGAGAAAACAATCGGTGTGTGCGCGCAGGTCTGAGCGTGCAGTTGGGTCTCCGGGCCTGCAGCTTCACCCTACTCGTTATTTTGGGAAAAGTTTGGGAACTGCTCTGGAAAATGCTTCTTGATTTCAGAATCTCTATCTTACTACAAACCAGACGGCAGTGTGTGAAAAGCATGTACGTGCGTGTGTGTGTGTGTGTTCACTGTGCGCTGGACCTCTTGGCGTGCAGCATCTCGATCAGCAGGTTGTTGCAGGGCACTTCTCCACACAGGTGTTTGTAGCAGAGGAAGTCTTCGGCCTCGGCGCTCAGCGAACGCAGCTCGGGCAGCCGCAGGATCAGCTGACTGAAGCGCTCCACACACTGCGGGTACGAGAAGAGTGTGTACTCCAGCAGAGCCCCGTTCACCTGCTCCTGCACGCTCTCCACAAACTGCGGGTTCTCCAGGAGCTTCACGTCTGAGGAAGACACACACACACACACACAGGTATTCATCATCATCATCACCTCCCAGATTAGACACGTATTCAGTCAGTCAATTTAGACCTTTTTCATAGCTGCTGCATGGAGGGCGCCATCGCGACCAGCGTCTTCCGGTAGAATGCTAAACACTTCCGTTTACAGCGTGTACAACTGGTAATTTGCGCTCAGGAAATGGGTTTCAATGACGTTTTTAATGGATAACAGAGTGTTTTTGTGACACACAACTTAGAAATGTGTCTGTTAAAGCCGTTATAATCTGTCACATGTGGTTCAAGCGCGTCAGAAATACGAGAAAAACGTTCTCCTAGCTCACGTGTCTGCCGTCAGAAATACAGTGTGTGTGTGTGTGCGTTCCCGGCCTGTCAGCTGTTAGCGCAGCGGCTCTTCAATACACACACACACACACACACACACAGAGAGAGAGAGAGAGAGAGAGAGCAAACCAGAGTACTGGCATGAAACTTAACAGGTATGAAAGTCATGCAATTTACAAAAATGAGCAATAAAAGTCTGTTATTGATCCTCTGCTGCTGATTTGCTGTTCATTCTAATCGCGAGCCGTTTGTGTTTTATTTCGTGTGTGGTTTTCACCACGGTTTGTGTTTTTCTGTCATTTGGAAATGACACTAGTCTATATTTTCACTTTGTCACAGTTATTAAATCAGTGTGTCAGTGGCACAGTACAGGCTACGTGTGTGTGTCAAACATTTTGGTGAACTACATGTGTTTGGGCTGGTTATATATTTGAAATAAAGAGAAAATGTTGACTTTAGCCATGTTTAAACTGCAGAAGATGCCGTCTGACGAGGGGGAAACGCCTCATAGCAGCTGTTTTCCATCCTATTAGATGGCATTTCTGTAAATGATCAGTCCAGGAGATGCTGCTGATGGACAACAGTATTAGTTCAAAGAGGATAAAAGCAGGTAAAATAGATTAAAACTATCGTTTCAAAGCTGTCCAAATGTGACTGTTTACACGCATCAGCTGCCGACCGGAAGTCCTTCGCATTCTCCTTGCGCATACACGCAAAACATCATGGGTAATTTTGCGTTCCAAGAAAAAGATCTAAAGCAGGATCAGGTACAGCTGAAGTCACTCCTTTGTTAAATATTTCCCAGGTGATGTTGAACAGATTTTTTTCCACAGTATTTCCTCTAATAGTTTTTTCTTCTGCAGAAATTTGTTTTATTTCCTAGGAAGATAAGGAAGGTTTCATTACTGTGTTTGTATTGTGAACAGCTTGAAGCCTTTTAATTAGACAGCTTGCTCTGTTATTCATCTTTTACAGGTAAATAAGGTTGTCATTTTAAGATTGTGCTCTATTGACGAGCTTTTGTAACTCTTTTTTTCCTGTGTGTGTGTGTGTGTGTGTGTGTGTGTGTGTGTGTGTGTGTGTGTGTGTGTGTGTGTGTGTGTGTGTGTGTGTGTGTGTGTGTGTGTGTGTGTGTGTGTGACAATAAAGCCATTAACGGAGCACTTTAAAGCATTAGCGGAGCTCATCAGGAGAGCCATTCACACACTAATTAAAACGTTGAATAATCTTTTCACTGCGTCTGAAGGACATCAATGACTCAAAGCTGCGCACATTTAGCCAAAGAATGAAGAAAATCAATGCGAGCGAACGAGTGTGTGTGTGTGTGTGAGAGAGCAGATGATAAATTCTTCAGCTTTCTCCACGTCTTTCTGCCTTCAGATGTTTGTTTGTTTGTTGTGCCTCGCCAAACTGTAATTGGACATTTCCAGGAACGCTTTCAGACAGAGCTGGATTTATTTGTGTGAATGTTTATGAATTACTGCATTTAGGATATAATCATAACAGCAAGTGGCTCATCAAATCGGGGTTTGATGAAAAGACAAACATTGGAGCAGAATGATCTTTCAAATCTGAATTCTGCATTAAATTCGTATGTTTCTGTCAAAATAAAAGTGACGGTAATTATAAAACCAAACTGGAAAACATTTATATACATTGCTTTCATTTATAATGCACTGAATTACCTTTATTTTAGGAATTGAATATTTTTTTTGTACTTAAAATGTAAAGTTTATTTATTTTATTGTGTTTCTTGCTGTTTTGTCATTTCTAAAATGTACTAGCATTCATTCATTTTCTTTTCGGCTTAGTCCCTTTATTATTATTCTGAACTGCCAACTTATCCAGCATTTATTTTATGCAACGGATAGACTTCCAGCTGCAACCCATCACTGGGAAACACCCATACAATCTCATTCACACACATACACTTTGGCCAGTTTAGCTTATTCAATTCACCTCTAGCTCATGTGTTTGGACTTTGGGGAAAATGTCAACTGACCCAGCCGGGGCTCGAACCAGCCACCTTTCTGCTGTAAGGCGATCATGCTAACCACTGTGCCTGCGTGACGCCCCAATTAACAAGCAATTTCTGAATAAACACTGGTGGAAGTTTCAATTGTTAGTAATTGTTTTTAAGGTAGTTATTTCCAGTGTGTTTACATATTGTCATTTTACATCATTCAATCATTTATTTTCCTTCAGTCGCTATTTCACAGGTCACCACAGCAGAATGAACCAACAACTAAAGCCTCCCGAGATGAAGAAGACATAAAAGCAGTGATTTTTCATATTTATGTAGGCTAGAAAATATGTTTTGTAATATTTTAATCCTTTATATTTATATTCTATATCTATTCTTATTATATCCTATATATATCTTTAATATTTAAATGTTTTCATATGTAAAGATATTTGCCTATTGCTCTCTTGTGTGTATTAAGCAGTGTGTAGGCGAGGCGCAACTTTGCGTCGGAGTTTAGACCGGGTTAGTTTTGGTGTTTCTTGCTGCTTACCCTCACGGCCCACCGGGAATTCTCCTGGTCCTCCCGATTAGCCAATCCAACAACAGCATCAGTTGTAGTAGCAGTGAATTTTTCACAGCACTGAATATTGAACTATTTATTTTTATTCAGCTGATTATTTCTTCATTTTATTTGTAATAAAATTGCCGCTTCTAAGTTCTGTTTGTTAAAAAGCAAAAGAATCTTGCGGTGCTGTTTCTGTAATAAATGAAAAGCAAATTACTTTAGTCTCCTCCCCTTTTTGGCTGACCCAAAAAATGGTACGACCTTTGACTAAAAAACCATAACGTGATCAGAACCGTGAGATTTAATTCACTTAATATGAAAAAAAGTTTGGGCACCATTTGTTTAGCATTTCTAGCATGAAGTGTGAGTGTGTGTTGTAGTGAGACTCACTGGGGTTGAAGAGGATGAGGAACTTCAGACAGGCCATCTCTCTGCTGTCCACCTGCAGCAGCTGGAGCCGGCGGGACAGATCCTGCCCTCGCTCAACCATGCTGGACAGAGGAGGACCAGCGTCCAACACCGCCGACAGCTCCACCTGCAGCACACACACACACACATGCCTGATTCACACATGCTCCGTCTGCAGTGTGTGTTTGGTGTGCATTTACAGTTGTAGTCAGAGTTATTCGCCCTCCAGTTAATTTATTTAAACATTTCCCAAATAATGTTGAACAGATTCAGGAAATGTTCACAGTATTTCCTATAATATTTGTTCTTCTGGAAAAAGTCTTAATTGTTTTATTTCAGCTAGAATATAAGCAGTTTTTAATTGTTTTAAAGCCATGTTAAGCTCAATATTATTCGCCCCTTCAGCAATATTAGTGTTGGATTGTCTCCAGAACAAACCACTGTTATACAATGACTTGCCTAATTACCCTAACTTTACCCTAATTACCCTAGTGAAGCCTTTACATGTCACTTTAAGCTGAATAGAAGTGTCTTAAAGAATGTCTAGTCTAATATTATGTGCTGTCATCATGGCAAAGATAAAATAAATCAGTTATTAGAGATGAGTTATTGAAACTATTATGATTAGAAATGTGTTAAACAGAAATAGGCAGGGGGGGGGGTATACAGGGAGGCTAATAATTATCACGTCACATGGACCTCGCGCTATGTATGTTTTTTTTAAAGTACAGTACTCATGAAATCAAAAGTAATTGTACTGATTTTGTTAGCTCACGTTGCTAGTTTTGTGCAGAACAATTCATCTGTGCATGTCATTAAGAAAAATGAAATAGTTTGCTCTTGTAATCTTCAATTGAAATCTGGAAATGCTCTTGTTTTCATTTAAATGATCAGATTAGGTCTGTCTGAGGTAGTGGGCGTGGCTAACACACTTTACCACACCCTCCAGCTGTCAGTTTTGACAGCAACAAACAGAAAGGGTGAGGAGGAGGAGTCTTAGGTTGTAATAACTCCCCAAACCCATTTCCCCATCATTCAGAATGAAACACCGACTTTACTACATCCAATCAGCTTGCAGTAGAAAAAACAAGCCACGCCCACTATTTTCTCATTTAAGATGTCAGTCATGTCAGCATCGAATTATAAATCAACTTTCTTATGAAAATACCTAAGATGGCTGGAAGAACACATTTAAACCACTTAATGTCGCAGTCGTGTAAATCAGTGGTTCTCAAAGTGGGGGTCGGACAGTGGCGTAGCGGACGGGCCCGCAGGGCACGCACCGCGGGGGGGCCCCGCGTGATTAGGGGGCCCCGCGTCGTCGCGATTTTCAATAAACTGTTGGGAACAACTGTGGTCGAAACCAAAGTTCACACATCTGTGTTCTCTGAACACCTCTCAAGCGGTGGACTACTTCATTCTGATTGCTTGCCGCCAATGTTGCCAACTTAGCGACTTTGTCACTAGATTTAGTGACTTTTCAGACCCCCCTAGCGACAAATCTAGCAACTGTTTTGTGTGTTATTGGAGATTTTTTTTAGACTGTCATTTGTCCATACTGTACCGTCCCTACTCTTCTCAACGAGCTGCGTGTGATGCCGCCGACCCCTCCCCCGCCTCACAGCACTGACAGGCGGTCCAGTCAGTCCTCTACAGCAGCCTCTCCCACCTGCAGCCCGAGAGCAGATCACCCCTCTGCGTACCGACGACAAATGATTTAGCACAGGCAGTGTGAAGGTATTTCCCTTGTACAGTCAAACCGATCTACTTCTACTTTATTTTAACAATTTAATTGGTCCGTTTATTCTTTTCTTGTTCACAATCACAGATATTTTAGTGACAGTTTCTGAACTTGTCTGAGTTTATTCCATATGAGAGATTACTGCACATTCACTACACATCTATAATGATATACTGTATTCAAACAGCAATACATTTAGTTAAATAAACATGCTTATATAAAGTGTAGTGCAATTATAAATACCCCTTTATTAACCATATGCTGTTAAACAGAAACAGTAGAACGTGATGACGTCAGTGATATGCAAATTGACATATGACGTACCCCCCCCCTTCATCAGGGGGCCCCGTCAGCGATCCCTGCAGGGGGGCCTCTGCATTTTGCGCTACGCCACTGGGGTCGGAACCCCCCGAGGGGTTGCAGGACAATGAAGTAGGGTCGCCTGGTGATTTCCAAAAATCTACCATATTTTATCTATAACCTACTGAAGAGAAAAAAATAGCCGTTTTTAGTTACTATATAGTTGCTATAAAGTTACAATAGTAGCTTATAGTTAGCAGTTCTATTGGATTGTGACTCCTGGGGTAATTACATTAAAGATACAGCAATAGCGTCAGACGAAGATTGATTTTATAACACCAGGTTAAACTTTCTGGCCCATTTACAGCTCTGACATACATTTAAAACATTAAATGAAGAATAGACTTGGGTCTATTGGTGTGCCTTTGCATTTATAATCGCTGTATTTATAACCACCTCCGAGGATATTGGGGGTCGCGAGTCACTGGCATTGTCATTTTTGGAGTCGCGAGCCGAAAAGTTTGGTGTAAATGATCAGTTAAAGCCTTTTTATATTAATTCAGATCTTATTTTTATTCAACTACAGCAATAGCCGACTGCCTTCATCCATATTAGGGATTTCCTGGAATACAGCACACACTAAGGAAGGAGCATGTGTGAAACATGTTGATGATGTATATGCAGACGCTCACCTCCTGTCCTGTGATGAGCAGCAGGCTGCCGTCTCTCCCATGATGCACCTGTCTGCAGATGTGATCCAGAAGCAGCAGCTCGCTCCAGCAGTTATGCAGCAGACGCATCTGATCGCCCACCTGAATCACAAATCAACACGTATGATCAACACAGACTTATATAGTCTTATCATAGAGCATATTATTATAGTGGGAAGTCAAAACAGTTCAAGTTAAAATATTATTACAAATGTTTATGACACTATTGCTTTAATTATTGTTTTTTTTTTGTCTTTGCCATGATGACAGTATATCATGTTACTAATTATTAAACAAGACACTAGTATTCAGCTTAAAGTGACATTTAAAGGCTTAATTAGGGTAAAGTTAGGTTAATTAGGCAAGTCATTGTAAAACAGTGGTTTGTTCTGGAGACAATCTAAAAAATAATAACCCACACGAACAAAAATACTGTAGTGAGTTACAGTAAATATGACTGTTGGAAACTTGTATTATACTATAAATTACTTCAGCATTTTTATCATGTGGGAATTTTCAATAAAAAAAATTAATTAATAATAATAAAAAAAGAATATATATATATATACATACACAACAGTTCTGTCTGGTTCTCGAATCTGATTGGCTGATAGCCGTGAGATACTTAAGTAATATCAGCATCCATACAGCCTCTTTACTCATACTATATCACTCCGCTTGCAAGGAGTTCCTAGCAAGCTATTTAAAAAGATACAAAGTTTCAAACTGTCCCAGCGAATCCGTTTAGCCAAACAGACATGGCAAATGACCCATTTTTCATGAATGTATCCTTCAATATTAGCTATGAAAGCCCATCAGATGAAGAAGAAGATGAAAAGACGACATCAATGGAGCAACCTGCAAGAAGTGTAGCCGTTACATCAGCAGATTTGGACTATTTAGAAAAAAATCGGCATGAATACAACTGTATGGGCCGTAAAAAGTTTAAAGACATGGTTGGCTGTAAAAGAGCTCAATATCGACCTCAAACTATGAAGTAACTCGGCACTCCTTGTTAGATCTAAAGTGTCATTAGAATCTTTAAGAGATGCTTGCTCAGCTGTTTAACTGTCAGCTTATGATTTGAATCCAACACGGAAGAAAGTAGTTCCTCATACAAAAGGGTTTTTGAGACTCTCCATGTTTGATTTTGTTTTTATATACACAATTATGCCGTCAAACTGTTGTATAAACGCAATATCACACTCTTAGCAGTGCGATATGGCTGTATATCGGCACTGGTGGGGGCACTAAGGCACTCGGCCTGCGGCTTTGTGCCAACGCACGCCTCCCACCAGTGCCGATATACAGCCATATCGCACTGCTACTCGTGTGATATTGCTCATATATATATATATATATATATATATATATATATATATATATATATATATATATATATATATAATACGATGAAAATGTTCTTGCTTTGTTGAACGTCACTTGGGAATTATTTTTAAAAATCTCGTCATTTTCAACCCTATTCCAAAACCTTTACAACAATTCGGATCTCATGAAAATAAATAATAAAAATGCGTTCTGCAGTTGGTTTTCCTCTATTTGCACGACCTCTGACCCTAAAGCCCTGAGATCCAGATGAAGAGCTCAGCGGACAGACATCATAAAGCCAGAAAATCAGAGGCCTTGTGTCCGATCTGTATTTATGAGCTGCACACCTCCTGTCCTTCCTCAAACCCTCATCTTCATCCACATACTGTAAATCACACACACACACACACACACACACACACACACACACACACACACACACACACACACACACACACTCCAGATGATCCCCCACACAGCTCCATAAAACCCTTTTCAGACCTGATGCACAGTTTTGAGCTGTTGGTGTGCGAATTACAGATAAATACATATACACACACTGGCCACTTTATTAGGTACACCTTAATGGTACCGGGTTGGACCCTCTTTTGCCTTCAGAACTGCCTGAATCCTTCATGGTGTAGATTCAACAAGATACTGGAAATATTCCTCAGAGATTTTGCTCCATATTGACATGATAGCATCACACAGTTGCTGCCAATATCCTGTTCCATCACATCCAAAAGCTGCTCTATTGGATTGAGCTCTGGTGACTGTGTAGGCCATTTGAGTACAGTGAACTCATTGTCATGTTCAAGTAACCAGTCTGAGATGAACCATGCTTTATGACATGCTGCGTTATCCTGCTGGAAGTAGCCATCAGAAGATGGAGACACTGTGCTCATAAAGGGATGGACATGGTCAGCAGCAATACTCAAGATGAATCCACCACTGATACAGGCAGGATGATCCATGCTTTCATGTTGTTGAAGCCAAATTGTGAGCCGAGCATCCGAATGTGTCAGCAGAAATGGAGACTCATCAGAGCAGGCAACGTTTCTCCAATCTTCTCTTTTTCAGACCATTCTCTGTAAACCCTAGAGAAGGTTGTGCGTGAAAATCCCAGTATATCAGCAGTTTCTGAAATACTCAGAGCAGCACGTCTGGCAGCAACAACCATGCCACATTTAAAGTCACTTAAATCCCCTTTCTTCCCCATTCTGATGCTCGCTTTGAACTGCAGCAGATCGTCATGATCATCGTCTAAAATGCATTAAGTTGCCGCCATGTGATTGGCTGATTAGAAATTTGCGTTAAGCAGTTGGGCAGGTGTACCAATTTCTAAACATAATAGTTTTTATAATGCTACAGTGCTACAATAATAACAGCGAGTTGTTCTGGAGACAATCCAAAACTAATATTGCTGAAGGGGGCTAATAATATTGACCTTAAAATGGCTTTAAAACATTTAAGAACTGCTTTTATTCTAGCCGAAATAAAACAAATCAGACTTTCTCCAGAAGAACAAATATCATAGGAAATACTGTGAAAAATTCACTGCTCTGTCAAACATCATTTGGGAAATATTGGAAAAAATTCACAGGAGGTTGAATAGTTCTTCGGCTGTACACAGATCTGCTGGATTTATTAACAGTATTTAAAGTAAGTAATTATAAGTAACTGTAATGAAACTTTCTAAAAATGATCATTTAATTAATACTCTGAAACTCTTCACACCAAACACTTGCTGTGATGAAAAATGCGACAGGATTCCTGCACAGATTGCCATTAGGCGTCTCTGAAAGCAGTGACGTGCGACTTCATTTTCCCGCTCGTTTCCATGGCTACAGAGGAATGCGCTGTGCGGGAAAATATGCGACGGTCACGCAGGTGTGAAAGTGCGAAGACAAAAAGTTTGAAATGCTGCATGATTTGCTTGAATTGGTCAGGGCAGGCAGTCATTATAATGCGTGTGGAGACGAATAACTGAGGCATTTATATGAGCTGTAGCAGACTGTACTGGTGTCCACACTGTATCTGCTCGGCAATGGCAGCAACAATGAAGCTCCTGTGAGTCACTGCTCGGAACAGCAACTAAGTGTCCAGATTCTGCTCAAATTCCTCACAGGATATCAATCTGGGCCCAAACGCTGGGCTGTTAAGATGCTGGCTTGTATATTTGACCAAATGTTTGACAAACCTAAATTTTGGGTTAAAAAATGTGGTCGAACTTTACAATAACCTTCCATTAGTTAACCCTTTAATGCATGAATTATGGAAAATATTATCCAGATTTGTTTTATTTTTAGAATTAGCACTTTAATACGATTATAAAATATGAACTCATTTTAATTTTTAACACAATTCAGCTTCATTTGACCCAAACACTTTACCATTTACAATATCGGTCCATTGGTTAACACCAATGCATGAATTGTGGATCTAGATTTCTTTAGTGCTTTTAATATGATGGTAAAATTGAAATCCAGTTTTATTTGACCTAAAACCTGGGTTAATAGAATGTGGTCACTTTTTTCCATTAATTATTCCAGGCCTGTCCAAACTCGGTGGAGGAGGGCCGGTGTCCTGCTGAGTTTAATTGAGTTGATTAGCTGCTTCAGGTGTGTTTGATTAGGGTTGGAGCTAAACTATCCAGGACATCGGCCCTCCAGGACTGAGTTTGGACACCCCTGTGTTAACCCTTTAATGCATGAATTATGGAAAATATTATCTAGATTATTATTATTATTTTATTTTATTTATATATTTTTTTATTTTGAATGTTAGTACTTTAATATGGGCGAGGCAGTGGCGCAATAGGTAGTGCTGTCGCCTCACAGCAAGAAGGTCATTGGTTCGAACCTTGGCTCAGTTGGCTTTTTTGTGTGGAGTTTGCATGTTCTCCCTGCCTTCGCGTGGGTTTCCCTCCCTGCCATCGCATGGGTTTCCTCCGGGTGCTCCGGTTTCCCCCAGAGTCCAAAGACATGCGGTACAGGTGAATTGGGTAGGCTAAATTGTCCGTAGTGTATGAGTGTGTGTGTGTGAATGTGTGTGTGGATGTTTCCCAGAGATGGGTTGCAGCTGGAAGGGCATCCGCTGCATAAAAACTTGCTGGATAAGTTGGCGGTTCATTCCGCTGTAGCGACCCTAGATTAATAAAGGGATTAAGCCGACAAGAAAATGAATGAATGTTAGTACTTTAATATGACGGTAAAATTTTAATCATTTTTATTTAATTCGGTTTTATTTTACCCTTTTTTTACACCCAAACTCTGGGTTAAAATGTGTAGTCACATTTTGCAAAATGGCTCATTTAGTTACCTCTTTTAAAGCATCAATTATGGAAAATAATATCTAGATTTATTCATTTAAGTACTTTTAAGTACTAGGTTTGTTTTATTTATTTATTCTTAATATTAGTACTTTAATATGGTAAAATCGAAATACATTTTAATTTTTGCAAATTAAGTTTTTTTTGACCAAATTTTTAAAAACCCAAATACCGGGTTAAAATGTGTGGTCTCACTTTACGATAAGGTTCCATTAGTTAACCCTTTAATGCATGAATTATGGAAAATATTATCCAGATTTGTTTTATTTTTAGAGTTTTTGTACTTTAATATGGTACGTTTTAAATTAAGTTTTATTTAAAAAATACTGTAAGTGTAAAAAAAAGTGTAAAATAGGACAAAATCACAGCTGAACAAATTCTTGATGACATTTTATGCTATTTATATTAGCTCAATTATGAAGAACAATAAGCTAATATCAATACATTTTTATTAACTTTCCTTCGTTCATTTTATTTTCGGCTTATTCCCTTTATTAATCCGAGGTCGCCACAGCAGTATTATTTTTCATTATTTTTCAATTAATCATTATTTTCATATTTTTTGTAATTAACTAATGTTAGCAAGGATTTAACAATTACTATATAATACATGTATTATTTTTTTGTTCATGTTAATAAATGTGTTAGCGAACAGTAACTAAAGGAACCCTATTGTGGACGTGTCATTAAAATTTAAAGTCCCTGTGAAAAAACCCCGTGACAAAATTTGAAGAAAATATAAACTAAATAAAAGCTTACAATCTTTTTTAATATCACCTTATACTTCAGTTTCTTATCAAATCTTCTGACCAATCAAACGCCCTCTAGTATCTGACATGCCCCGCCCCCTTCAACACACTCTCACCAACTCTCACTAGCAGAGCTGTAATAAAAACAAAGCGCTATTGGCTGTTTTACAAAAAGGAGGCGGAGCTACTATATGCCCCGCCCTCTCTTTATGCACCAGTTCAAATTACATCACACATCCAACAAATCTGCATATTTCAAACCACTTAATAGATATTTAACCACATGTTGGGTTAAAACAACCTTCCATTTCTTTAAATAAAAATATTACTTCAAGAAACTGCGAAGATAAAACACTAACAATAGCATCTTCGTATTTTTTATGATGTTTTATCTATTGTGAAGGTTTTATTTTGTTACTCAAAACTGTTTCTTTCTTTTGTGTAAAGCGCAGGGAGAATGAAGTTTTAAAGGCGCTACATATAAACATAAATGATTATTATTATTATTAATATCAGAACGCCCTACGTCTTATCTTTACCCAATGCATGATGTGGCGACAATAGCAGGCGTTCTCCAAAATAGCGTCTTTTAATAGACACAACACTGCTTTGTCTGATGGGAGCTGTGTAAACACGCAGGGTTTGTCTTATCTGGGAGCCGTACCTTTAGTTCCTTGAAGAAGACACAGCTTCTCGCCCACTCCACGATAGAGAAGAGCGTCTGGTCGGCCATGACACACAGCAGGCTGAAGGGTCGCGATTTCTCCAGCTTTCCTCTGCCACTCTGCTCCTGGTGGAGATACGCGCAGATCTTTCCTCTCACCTGCGCACGCACACACACATTTTATTCAGAGTGACTATACTAGGGTGGCACGGTGGCTCAGTGGTTAGCATCCACTACAGACAATTTAGTTAATTAATTCCCCTATAGCGCACGTGTTTGGACTGTGGGGGAAACCGGAGCACCCGAATGAAACCCACGTGAACACTGGGAGAACATGCAAACTCCACACAGAAACACCAACTAACCCAGCCGAGGCTCGAACCAGCAACCTTCATGCTGTGAGGCGATTGTGCTACCCACTGCGCCACCATGCTGCCTGCATTTCATGTCAAATGCTAAATTACCATCTAGCATTCTCTCAATATTTTACTCTTATAATATTCTGTATTATGTCTGTTATTTTGTTCATTTCTGCACCGACACCTCGAAAGAAAGATCAACATTGATCTGCTTCATGGTTGGACTGCAGTCTCGGTTCATCTCTCTATAAAGTAGGCATATAATGCATAATTCGAGCCAACGTTTTTAAGCTCCAAATTTATAATGAAAACAAAAGTTATTAAATGTCTGATTTAGGGCTTGCATAGACTAGTCGACTAGTCGAGCGGTCGACTACTTCAACCACTAGTCGGCGCTCTCAGAAGCAATCGACTACTCGAGCGTGCATTTACCATTAACGACATCAAAACGACAAACGTATCCAACAAACATCACGATCCAAGGTTAAAGCTTCCAACTACAACTGAGGATTAAATTCAAGATTATTTACATTATCAACATTAACACCACAGGGAATTTGATTTAGAAAGTAGCGACTGCCCAACACTGTATATCAGCTACATTCCCGCATAAAACCTGCTTTCTAGTGTAAAACTGTTGCGCACTTTGTGAAGTTCATTTATAAACAAATTTCGAGAGGATCACGTGCTTATGATTGGTCACAGCTGTTCCAACTTTAGCTAACGACTGATTATCCTATCAGACGATCCTTAACTCACTATAAATAACCAGACTTTTCTCATCTCAATATCTTCGTCTTGACGAAAATCCCCCCCACCCAACCCTACTTTCCCTCCTTTCAAAGGGCGTCACGGTGGCCAGCGATTAGCGCTGTTGCCTCACAGCAAGAATGCCCCTGGTTTAATTCCTTTCCAAACCAGACGGCATTTCCTGTACGGAGTTTGCTCGTTCTCCCCGTGGTCGCGTGGGTTTTCCCCGGGTCCTCCGGTTTCCTCCCACAGTTCAAAAACAAGCACCCTAAACAATTAATCCAAATACTTTAGCTAAACTCCCGAGTACACCTTTCAGCATCCATATCTGACACTTAGCTACAACAAGCAAGAGGGGGAGTCATCGAGATCTACCTGAGCTCAAACTCCCCTCTCGCCTTGCAACGGGAGGGAGCCCAGGGCTCGAGGATCTTATAAGCTCAGGGCTCTCTCCCGGGACAGCACGCCAAACTAGCTGTACTATCAATCATCAGCTAAGTGTGAACCCTTGAATTGAATTTTAGGATATTGAATTTGATTTTCTGATTTTCTTCATCTTGAAAATTTGAAACTGTATTTTTACAAACCCAATATCTGCAGTCTAGGAATTCAGAACACAAAAAATCTGACGTTTGAAATGCGTCTAAAAAAAAATCAGACTTGAAAAGTTCAGTTTGCTTAAATTTCAGATGCTCAGTATTCAAGTTATGAAATTCAAATTCAAAGTAAGGAATTCAAATTCAAAACAATTTTTAACAGCATATGAAAATGACGATTTATTAACTTACAAATGTCAATAATTCAAATGAACAATTCAAATTCCGATTGTTTTGGCATATTATTAGCTCCATAGAGCAGTGTTTCTCAACTGGTGGGTTCAAAAGAACCCGGTCAAAAGAACAACAAAAGTTTAATTTTCAACTTATTTTGACTTTTATTTTGAAATGCGTGCACGACAACCCTACCGTTTGACATGTGAAATTTCATTTAATGAAAGCAACAAATATATTAAAGTGCACGTACGCCCCCAAATATGTAAAGTATGGATTTACAAATATTGATGACAAATAAGACTTAAAGCCTCAGTGTGTCATAAGTAGTGAGCTGCTCTCACAAGAGAGCACGAAACCTTCTAAATTAAAACGACATTTAGAAACCAGACAACATGATTCAGGGCTCAACAATAAGCACTGCCCGGTGGCCCAGGGCCAGCATGAGAGACACTTGGGACATTAGACCGGATCCTTACTGGCCCGATTGGGACAGTGCTGCCTTGTCACTTACATTTATTTGTTTGACTATTTGTCAAATTGCAAGTTTGTGCTTTTAAGTCTTTAAGCACTACCTTGTCTGTGATGTAGAAACGTTTCCGGTTCCTCTTATCTGATTGAGCATGCTATTTTTTTCCGTAGCCTGGTAACAATCAGTACAGCAGAGAAACGGCAACATGGCGGCAACATCAAATTATAAGGCTAAAAGAAAATGTCTGTTTCTAACATCTTGGAAGTGGACATTTACGTGGGAACAACACGACAAAATAAAAATGAAGTGATGCTTTGCACAGTTTTCCGTCAGTTTGACAAGTCATACCTCCACATTTTCCATCCTGCTCTTTTTGCTTGCACAACACTTTTATTTACATTTTTGAAAGTATTGAAATTTTACAGACTTTATTTTTGACACTTTATTTAAAATATGTGGCTAAAAATAGCTATTAACTTCCCTTTTTTTTGGTGGGGCCAGTGAAAATTTTGGCAGGGCAAGTAAAAATCTGAACCACTGGCCCGATCAGACCAGTAGAAAAAATCCTTAGCGTTGAACCCTGTGCTTTATTAACTGTTTAGTTCATGGAAACTGAACCTTTCCTTCCCCTAACCACTATTACTCTGTAATATTTCTATAATTTGATGCATTTTGTTAAATGACAGTGATAAAATATTGTTTATTTGTAAGTCTTGGTGATGTTCTTATGATTTATCTGTCACTACTTGTGTATGGTAACAAATAAATACAAATGAATTATAATTCCTAAAATTATATTATAGTTCCTGAACATTTGGGTCGCGGCTTGATGGCCATGTAAAAATGTGGGTCCCATGGCCAGACCAGTTGAGAACCCCTGCCATAGAGGATCGTGATGCCAGCTCAGCATCCTGATGTCAATCCGCCATCAGCAAGTGTCAATAGCATTGTCTATCGACCCACCCTTAAGGCAACTTTTTTAATACTAACAGAGAAAGAGCTACAGGTGAAGCCAGAATTATTAGCCCCCCTTTAAATGTTTTCTTTTTTTAAATATTTCCCAAATGATGTTTCACAGATTCAGGAAATTTTCACAGTATGTCTGATAATATTTTTTTTTCTAGAGAAAGTCTTATTTGTTTTATTTTGGCTAGAATGAAAGCAGTTTTTAATTTTTTATAAACCATTTTAGGGACAAAATTATTAGCCCCTTTAAGCTATATATTTTCGATAGTCTACAGAACAAACCATCATTATACAATAACTTACCTAATTACCCTAACCTGCCTAGTCAAGCTAATTAACCTAGTTAAGCCTTTAAATGTCACTTTAAGCTGTATAGAAGTGTCTTAAAGAATATCTAGTCTAATATTATTTACTGTCATCATGACAAAGATAAAATAAATCAGTTATTAGAGATGAGTTATTAACACTATTATGATTAGAAATGTGCTGGAAAAATCTTCTCCTTTAAACAGAAATTGTCGAAAAAAGTAAACAGGCGGGCGAATAATTCTGACTTCAACTGTAAATCTGCATGCATTTTTTTTTGCTTCATACCTGCTCCTCATCTGGGTCGCAGCTCTGCAGCTCCAGCACCAGCGGCGGCAGCGCAGGGTTTATGGGGACACTGTGTGGTGAAGCGCTCAGGCATCCATCAGCGTATGAGTAACCCAGCGTGGAGTCCGGAGAGCTGGAGTACGCGTCCGGATACTCGGCTTTGATGGATTTGGGTAGAGACGGAGCCGTGTACTGATACTGTGCTGGGAATGAGCCGTAATTCTGCAGAGCGACTCCGAGAGCAGGCGGAGGACAGTCATAGGGAGACTGCAGACCTACAGAACTGAACTCTGTCTGTCCCGACAGCAGCGTCCCGTTAGCCTCCAGTTTGAAGCCGCTAGCTCGGATTAAAGCTCGCTTCTGCTGCTTTAAGGCTCGGTCTCGCTTGTACATTGGGCCAAACTTATTTCTTCCACCTCTCATCCGGTCTGCACGCACAGCTGAGAAGACAAAGAGAGAGAGAGAGAGAGAGAGAGAGAGAAATAATGCATTTATGTGGTCATACTTTATGTTAAAGGCACAGAAAGTTGGCAGAAAATATATATATTTTTATATTTTTTATAATATTAATTTTAATTCAATTGAAGATAAACTGAGATAAAATAAAAGAGAGAGGAATAATGCATTTGTGTGGTCATACTTTATATCAAAGGCACAGAAAATTTCTAAAATAAATACAGTTACTCAATATGTTCTTATGTACTATAAATATAAACAAATACTTAATAATTAATCATTATAATAAATAATAAATATTAAAAAATAATAATACATTTTAATACAATAATAAAATATTTGTTTTATTGTTTATATTAATGACACAATTTTATTATATTACATTATATATATATATATATATATATATATATATATATATATATATATATATATATATTATAATTAATATTAGCTTATAAATAATACAATTAAATAACAAATATATTTAAAGCTCGAGAGACTGCATAAAAATTATTGTTTTTTATGGATTTATTAGGTACTTTATGGGTTTGAGTAAAAAGCAAATATTTGTTTTATTCTGCAAAGGTCTAATAAAATAAAATAAAATAAAATATGCACAATAATATCATTGGTGTAATAAAATATCATGGGTAAAACAAAAATAAAATATCATGGGTAAAATAAAATTAAATTTCATGGATGTAATAAAATAATAAAAATTAAATGTGCACAACAATATTATAGGTATAATAAAATAAAAAACTAATCAAAAACAAACAAACAAACAAACAAACAAACAAACAAAAAAACTAATCATCCAAACGAACATGCACAATAATATCATGGGTGTAACAAAATAAATTAAAATAAAATAAAGTAAAATAAAAATAATGCATTTATGCAAAAGAAAATAAAATAAAAAATCATGGGCAAAATAAAATAAAATAGTAAAATTTAAATCTAATTAAATATGCACAATAATATCATGGTTAAAATTAAATAATAAACAAAAACAAACAAACAATAAATTAATCATCCAAACAAATATGCACAATAATATCAATTATAAAATAAAATAAAAATATCATGGGTAAAATAAAATATCAAGGGTAAAATAAAATAAAATAACAAAATATCATGGGTAAATCTAATTAAATTTAATTAAATATGCAAGATAATATCATTGGTAAAATAAAATAAATAAATAAAATATGCACAATAATATCATGAGTAAATTTAAATAAAATAAAAAAATAATCAAAAACAAACAAACTAATCATCCAAAAAAATATGCACAATAACATTATGGGTGTAATAAAATAAATAGCACGAGCACAAAATTACAGCAAAATTAACAAAAACAAAAATAAGTAACTCCAGTATCTGACCACAAACACAGTCCTGTACAAAATGCACCAGAGCATACTCTCATAGAGAAATCAATAATAAAAACAGACAAATGATGAATTCCTAAACATTATTTACATTCTGCGGATGAACTTTTCCTGAAACAACTAGAAAAGCAATTCTGTGTTATTTTCGGAGCAGCGTGATTAAAAAAGCCAAATACAGCCAGGAATGCTTGGCACGGTTTACAGGGCAAAAAAGCAACTGTATCTCTCTCTTCATATGGAGATTTTCAGCTGGTTTTGTGAACTCTGAGACTGAAGTCTGCATGAATCAGCGAGTCTTATCAGCGCGTGAGGAATGTGTCACAGGCGCGCGCGGAAACAGGTGCTTCTCTGCACTCGGCCTGGGAATCGCGCACACACACACACACACATATATATACACACACACAAAGCCAAATACGAGACCCACGAGCCTCCAAATTAAGTGCAGTACAAATTAATAACGTACCAACTATATATATATATATATATATATATATATATATATATATATATATATATATATATATATATATATATATATATAAAACTATATATATTAATATTCAAATTAATATATATATATGCCAACTATTCCAGCATGTGTTTTATGCAGCGGATGCCCTTTCAGCTGCAACCCAGTAATGTGAAACACACAAACACACACACACTCATACACTACGGCCAATTTAATTTATTCTATTCCCCTATAGCGCATGTGTTTAAACTGTTTGAGAAACCGGAGCACCCGGAGGATACCCACACCAACAAGGGGAGAACATGCAAACTCCACATAGTAATGCCAACGGACCCAGCCGGGACTCAAATCAATGACCTTCTTGCTGTCAGGCCACAGTGCTAACCACTAAGCTACCAATTATTATATTTATATATTTAATTATTTTTAATAAGGCAAGGCAACTTATAATATAATAATAAAAGAAATAAAAGAAACTTCAAATTAAAGGTAAAAATAAAGCTATAAAGGTAATGCTTTGTATAATGTTTTGATATAAAATGTATTGTATATTATGCTTTTTTAATCAGACACACTTCCCTTGTCCCATACAAGGTTTTTATCACCTATATAAAGTTGAATAAAGTTATAATAATAATAATAATAATAATATAATTCTAATAAAATTTACCTTAGAAGTTTAACTCTTCTTTTTATTTACTCCAGTCAAACTAAAATAAATAAAAGATTAACAGGAAATACTGTGTTCTTTGTTAAACATATATAAATAAAGAATAATAGATATTTCACACGAATAATTGACTTCAGCTGTTTGCAAATTCATATGCAGCCACTAGACTTTCATAAAATGTTTTAAAACCTCATAACACATTTAATGTTTACTGCCTAGTGCTAAAGATGTATTACTGTGTTAAGCCTGGACAAAAATCTGTATGTTTATTTTCATTTGGGTTTTAAATCTATAATGAGTGAAAGGCATTCGAGGGGATTTTTCCAGAACATCATTTGGCAACACTTTGCAACAGGTTGTCATTAGTGAAACTCTTATCATCTAAAAATGAGCAATAGATTTGCTAATATCAGCATATATTAATCCATTAATGAAATCAAATGTTACTGCAGTGTCAGCTAACATTAACAAATATTAATAAATGCCGAGTGAAGCTAAATGGTCAAATAATATTTCTTGCAAATTATACACACACACACACACACACACACACACACACACACACACACACATACACACACAGTTGAAGTCAGAATTATTCGCCCCCCTTTATTTTTATTTCCCAATTTCTGTTTAACAGAGAGCAGATTTCATCAACACATTTCTAAGCATAATTGTTTTAAGAACTCATCTCTAATAACTGATTTATTTTCTCTTTGCCATGATGACAGTAAATAATATTAGACTATTTCTTTTTTAACACACTTCTATACAGCTTAAAGTGACTATTAAAGGCTTCACTAGGTTAATTAGGATTACTAGGCAGGTTAGGGTAATTAGGTAAGTAATTGTATAATGATGGTTTGTTCTGTAGACTATCGAAAATATATAGCTTAAATGGGCTAATAATATTGACCGTAAAGTGGTGTTTAAAAAGTTAAGAAACTGCTTTTATTCTAGCAGAAATAAAGCAAATAAGACTTTCTCCAGAAGAAAAAAATATTATCAGACATACTGTGAAAATCTCCTTGCTCTGTTAAACATCATTTGGAAAATATTTAAAAAAGAAAAATACTATATATAATAAATATCCCATAAACCAACTTTTTGTACTTAATGAAAAGAAAAATGCTATAAATGACTAATGAATATAAAATGCTAGAAATGCTATGTCATATTTGGAAGTATTAGCAAACCTTAAGAAACTGAGAATTTTCAAGTAGTCTCTTATTTTTTTATCCTTTAATGTGTTTTTAAACCCTAACTAAAAGTCCTCATAATACATGATATGATCATGTAATAAAGCATTGCACTGGTCCACATTCAAACACTTCTAGTAATACAATCAATGCACTCAAGAAGATTTCATTTTCCACAAGAACAAATACTATGGTGGTTTATAGTAAACACTACTTTTTTTTTTTTTGAAGCATACTATAGTAACTTGAATTAGGCTGCGGTCACATTGGACATTTCTCCCTATAGACTTCCATTCAAACATATGCGAATGCATCAGAGCGGAAACGCAAGCTTGTGCAACAAGCTTCGCAGTTCGCTGCATTCCAAAGTTCAAGCTTGGAGAACTCTGAATGCGAAATCACATCACGTGACAGCGTGAGACCAATCGAAGATCAAAACATGACCTCTCTGGGCAGAAATAAATATGGACCAATCGCTTACTTTTTTAAATGTCTAATCATCTTGTTTAATCCCGCCCCTTTTCACAGCGCAGTACTACAGAATTTTGCTAGCTCAAACTCTAGTGTGACCGCAGCATTAATCTGTTGTGGCGATTGTACAGTTGCTAAACTAACAACTACAGTATTTAATCTGTTGTGGCGAATGTACAGTTGCTATGGTAACACAACAACTACAGTTTTAATCTGTTGTGGCGATTCTACAGTTGCTATGGTAACACAACAACTACAGTTTTAATCTGTTGTGCCGATTCTACAGTTGCTATGGTAACACAACAACTACAGGTTTTAATCTGTTGTGGCAATTCTACAGTTGCTATGGTAACACAACAATTACAGTATTTAATCTGCCATGGCGATTCTACAGTTGCTATGGTAACACAACAACTACAGTTTTAATCTGTTGTGACGATTGTACAGTTGCTATGGTAACACAACAACTACAGGATTTAATCTGTTGTGGCAATTCTATAGTTGCTATGGTAACACAACAACTACAGGTTTAATCTGTTGTGGCGATTCTACAGTTGCTATGGTAACACAACAACTACAGTATTTAATCTGCCGTGGCGATTCTACAGTTGCTATGGTAACACAACAACCACAGTATTTAATCTGCCGTGGCGATTCTACAGTTGCTATGGTAACACAACATCTACAGGTTTTAATCTGTTGTGACGATTCAACAGTTGCTAAGGTAACAACTACAGGATTTAATCTGTTGTGGCAATTCTACAGTTGCTATGGTAACACAACAACTACAGCATTTAATCTGCCGTGGCGATTCTACAGTTGCTATGGTAACACAACAACCACAGTATTTAATTTGTTGTGCCGATTTTACAGTTGCTATGGTAACACAAAAACTACAGTATTTGATCTGTTGTGGCGATTCTACTGCTGCTTTGGTAACACCAATGATAGCATTTATTCTTTTGTGGTGTTTCTACAGTTGCTATGGTAACATCATTTATAGCATTTAATATGTTGTGGTGATTCTAGAGTAACACAACGACTATATAAACAAATGACCCTACTGTAGTTTCTACAGCTACTGTATATAGTGTATTACACTACAGCACACCACAGTTTACTGTAGTAAACTTAAGTATATTACAGTATTCATTACAGTACATCTCTATTTTAAATACTTCAGTATGCTAGAGCATTAATTAGCATTGTGTATTAAATACTGTAATATATGCACTTTAGCATGGTTCAAAGGAACTGCAGTATTTACTGTAAATGACTACAGTAATAGACATTTGTTGTGTTTTCCCCCACTTATGTTGTAGTGTTGCTCACCCTCAAGTCTCATGCCGACACTCAGACACTTCTGGAAGCGGCAGAACGGACATCTTTTCCTCTGAGTTTTGTCGATGCCGCAGTCCTGGTTCTGTGTGCACGTGTATCTCTTGTTATTCTGAACTGTCCTCTTGAAAAAACCCTGACATGGTAAAGCACAGTAAACAGTGTGTTCCGTCAGACGGTTTAAAAACGCTTTACAGCTCATACAGTAATTGCGTTGTTAAAGTGTTAAATTAACATGCATTTCTTACATTATTTTGCAAACACAACAAATAATTATGGAAATTTCTAAATGTTCTCTGAAAGCTCAATAGATTTCACTTTTAAAAACATCAGTTCTTTTCTAATTTTTTAAAACACTCTATTAATTATCATTCTGTTAACATTATTGGAATATTCTGTAACACTTTAGGTCACTGTTCTTGCTATTAACTACTGGCTTATTATCTGCCTATTATTAAGATATGAACTGTTCATTAGTAGTTAAACAGTACACTGCAAAAAATGCTTTTCTTACTTCAATTTTTTCTCTTAGTCCAAATATCTAAAAGTTCTCAAATCAAGAAACATTTTCTAGACAAGCAAAACATATTGTCTTGTTTTAAAAAATAATATGCCATAATGAAGTGACTTTTTCCTTAAATCATGCTAAATAATCTGCCAATGGGGTAAGCAAAATAAATTTATCACAAATCGAAAAACAAGATTATTTTGCTAACCCCATTGGCAGATTATTTCGCATGATTTAAGGAAAAACTCACTTCATTTTGGCATATTATTTCTTAAAACAAGACAATATGCTTTGCTCGTCTAGAAGTTTTTATTTAAGTATTTGTAGATATTTGGAATAGAAACAAGACAAACAAATCTAAGTAAGAAAAGCATTTTTTGCAGTGTATGCTTTTATTCTGCATCCCTAATCCTACTCAATCACCTAAACCCAACTTCTACCTTAAAAACTATTAAGAAAACAGCTAATTAGTAGTTTATTAAGCTAGTAGTGTTAATTAATGGTTTGTTAATACAGTGAATTGTGACCTAAACTAAAGTGGTACTGATATGCTTGGAAAAAAAGTTACATTCCAAAAGAAACATTATATTAATAATATCTCAAAAGTTACTTTAAATGTTCTCTGTACATTCTGAAACAAGTAGTTACTTTTAAAATGAAGTACATTATAAAATTGTCGTTTTTATTAATAAAAACAGGAGTATCCAACTAAAACGTTCCTGAAACACACACCAAGTAGCCTAGTTATAAATTACGTTTTTTGTTTACCTTTCTGAGAACACAGAGACCAGAAAGAAATGAATTTATGTTATGTTAACATTAAATTACATTAAGTGATTTTTTAGGAGTGACAAGACGAACTCGTAATGTAAATTATTCACACGACACCCATTAGCTTATATATATGAACGCTTGTTCATTAGGCTGTGCCAGTTAGCCTATAGTTACACTTTAGAAATTAATTCTGAAGTTCTAACAGGAACATTAATCTACATATTAGGATATTAAAACATTATGTAAATCCGCGTGCATTATGACTAACAAATCACCGAATAAACGTCGTTCAAAAAATTAGCAAAAACAGCAGCTCAGCTAATGATGCCAATAGAGGGGATACAGCAGGGGCGGGAAATTAACGATGATTATTATTTATGAAATAATCCATCAACTGTTTTTTATTAACGTCTCCCTCTACCCTAACCCTAAACACAACCATCACACTAATGTAAAAACAGTATTATACCGAGTATTATTTATATTACTTAGCTACTAAAGTCCTCATTAACTCTATTGTATTAAGGTCATAACGTTACACACACAGGAATGTAAAACAGTAACCATACCAAGTATTCATATTACTTATTAAATTGCTCATAAATTGTCATTTATTATCATCTACCCATAATCCAAGCCATACAGTAATGTAAAAAAATATTATTGTTTTACTGATGTGAGCTGTGTCTAAACTTTACCGTCAAATAAGATAACAGGGAAACCATTTACTAACAAATAATTGAATCGTCGTTAATAAAACTAGCTTTGCTGTTTTCTAACATTGTTTATATTAAAACAACTTATTAAATGTGTCATAAATCATTTGAAACGCGTTTCCGATAAGAAAAGAAAGAGAAACTGTGTCGTACCTTACAACTTTCGCAGGTCAGAAGGCCGTAATGATAACCGGACACTTTATCTCCGCACACCGGGCAAAGCTCCTCCAAATCCTCATCTGCTCTGAAGTCCATCACCGTCTGACACAGACACACACCAATTAACACATTCACACTCTTTCAATGATCTTTCAATAATCACTGAGTAGGAAATAAAGCATGCATTATCTTTTTTTTACTTGAGCACGTGCATTCTGACAATGGCATGACACTGAATGTAGCATCGCTTTAATCTACAGTAATACCTCAATATTAAAGTGTCACACTAAAATGATGCGTATTAAAATAATAAGGCTAGAGATGTTGAGTTCTCGATGCATCCGTGTGTCATGTATGTCTGGACTGAAAAGATGGATATGATCGTATTGACTCGTGTCAAGCCTCCTATATGGACGTGACCACCCACTTGCCCACTCCCACACACACACCAACGATCTTTAGTTCATTAATAGTTTATTTATCTTATTTTATTTGACATATTTTACTTTATATAAAAATGACAGTTTTAAAACGACAATTTAACATTTAACTATTTAATTCTATCATCCTAAATACTCCTACTATTTATAATTTACCCATGAATAAACTGCACATTTATATTATTATTAGTCTGTATTAATAAGCTAAATAATTGGACAGGCTTTCTTTTTTATTGTGATCGTTTCCCTCCCCTAATATTTTAGGATAAATAAAAGACCTTGAAGCATTGCAAATCTATTCAACTATTAAAAAAACGCTTGCTGGAAAATATACAGACACAAGGGTAACGTTAGTTTGTATATTGTAAATGCAAGAGACTATATTTTAACCAATTTTTAGCTTTTAGTGACTGAGAAAAAACTATTTAATTGACATCTACTATCATAAATAACACACGAATGAAAACCTTCCTGTAAATGTTTGATATAGTCTAGCATATATTTAAAATGTGGTGTTTATTAAATAATAAATCACAATGTAGTGTGGCTATTTGTGCAGTAGGTTATTTAAATGTTATTAACAAAGGTATGACGATGATTCTTTGTTATGATCTAGGCTAACATTTTGAAAACAAGACGATTAAATGCTAATTATCATCAATAATATACGTCAATAGCTTACATTTGCATTGCATTTTAATGTCTTTTGTCTTTAAGAAATCAAATTCAATAAGAAATCACAATGTGTTGTGGCTATTTGTATATAAAACTGTTATCGACTTAAAATATTTTAATACATAAATAATATTCTGTTGTGATCTGTGCATATAGCCTAACATAGCTAGTTTCCCTGAGACGGGTTGCGGCCGGAAGGGCATCCGCTGCGTAAAAACATGCTGGATAAGTTGGCGGTTCATTCCGCTGTGGCGACCCCAGATTAATTAAGGGACTAAGCCGACAAGAATATGAATGAATGAATGAATGGAGACGCTCAGATGCTAATTATTAACAATAACCTAACGTAATCTTATTTACTTGCATTTTGATGTCTTTTTTCTCTAAGAAATCAAAGTCGGTAATAAAAAACAGTGTGGCTATTTGTTTATTATGCTATTTAAATGCTATTAATTATGTATTTTAATATTTAAATTCATTTTTGTTGTGATCTGTACATATAGACTAACATATATATTAAAAACAAGACGCTCAGATGCTAATTATCAACAATAACCTAACGTTAATCTATTTGCATAGCTGTCTTTATATCTCTAAATCAAAGTCGATAGAAATCAGTGGCTACTTGTATATCAGGCTATTTAAATGCATTTAACTCCGTGTATTTTAATATATAAATTCATATTCTGTTGTGATATGTACATCTAGGCTAACATATATTAAAAACAAGACGCTCAGATGCTAATTATCAACAATAACCCAACATTAATCTAGCTGCATTGCGATGTCTTGATATCTCTAAGAAATCAAAGTCGAAGAAATCACAAAAGTGTGGCTATTTGCATACTAGCTATTTAAATATCATCAAATCAATATATAAATTCATATTTTGCTGTGATCCGTTCATTTAGACTAACATGTATTAAAAACAAGACGCTCAAGTGCTAATATCAACAAAAACCGTATAGGTTAATATAGTTTACTAGCATTTTGACGTCTTTTATAACTTATATGCCTTTACAGTGTCAGAAGTGAAATCTAAAATGTTTTACGAACAAAAAAAGACACTAAATAAAACTCATACTTATTTCATAATGATTATTTTTGGAGTTTTTCCTCCAAAGCGCACTCACCGTTAAAATGCGCGTCCAGCATGCGCGTGCTCGTCCCTCAGCTCCGGTGTCCGGTAAAGAAGAAACAGCGATGGATCCGTTTAGTCGTTCAGAAAGTTCAAGAGTGAATTTTAAAGGTCAGGAGAGAATCTTACAGGTCTGATGGGTTTTTTTTTTCTCGGCGTTTGATGGTGTGGATCAGATTCAGAGAGATGGTCTTCATTGGACAGCGTGCGCTCATGTGACAGCGCTCATGGTGCACGCATTTTATCATCGGAGAGAGAGAGAGAGAGAGAGAGAGAGAGAAAGAAAACATGCTGTGGCCATTTACATCATCATAGAGATTAATTTAAGTACAAAAAACACAAATAACTCTTTAGTAACATTTTTTTCTGTTACACTAATTGTTTACCTCGCTTAAGCTTCATTGCTTTCAAATGCTTGCAGCGTATTAGCATATTATTAGGGATATTATTCGCATTTAATAACAATTTTGTTCTGTTTATAGGATTTAAAACAGATTTATAGCTGTTATTTATGATATAGGATATTAAATTACATTTTATGAGTGATATAAAGAGCTTGTAATGTTAATTATTAAAGAATAAATAGATTAAAAAGAACATGATCCTTATTAACTGTTATTTCCTCATAATAATAATTATTATTATTAATTATAATATTAAAATTATTAATAATAAATGCATTATAAACACGTTTCAAATGTCTAGTCTAATTTTTTGACAAGTCTCCATTCAAAAGAAACTAAGTAGTAAATTAAAAACAAACGTTATGTATAACTTTTAGTGCTTTTTCTTTTCTTTTTTTTACCTTGATAACTTCATTTTAAAAATGATTAAGTGAGAATTCGAGGAAAATAGTCCACAGCACTTGACATTTTGGAGTCATAATGAATGCTAATTAATGAATGCATCAAATAAAATGAATGCATTTTTAATATATAATACACAGACCATGCACGTTTAAACAAATGAAGGTGAATTTTCATTGGTAAAATATTCCTGTTTACTACATCAGACGTCCTTTGTCAGAGACGGATCCATTTTTACTAAATGAATTGAATAGATCCATGTCTTTACACACACGCACAGCTTCACAAAATTAAAGGAAAAATAAAATAAAACCTATTCATAAAAGAGAATAATATATGCATTACATTGCATTGATTTATGATTATGATTAAGTAGGCTGTGACTGAATAGCACAACTGAAGAAGATTGATCTCGCAAGGATCCTACAGGCTCCGATCTATAGTCTGCGTCGTGCTCGTTGTGTGGTGAAGTGCTCGCGCAATTAAATGCATTGGATTGCGTTGCGCTGAGAGTCGTGATAGTGTATCAGTTACCGCTTGTCAAGGTTATAGTCGTGCTATGTTATGTTATGCCGGGCTGATGTGACTGGGTTTGGCTTTCTGTCCCTGATATGAAGCGCGAAGTGAAGACATCACCGCCGTGCTTTGACTCCGGAGGGACTATTTTTGCTTGGCGAGCATTCCTGCGTCTTCCAGAGCCAGAAGTCTGATAGAGGAGCCGCAGATCTCCAATTGTGCATGCAAACCAATGCTGATTTATGACAAAGAATAGAATAGAATAGAATATAGCACATATAATTAATTTTATTTTATATAAAATTATATTATATTTCATTATATAATTCATTTTAACGCTATAGTAATGTTATTCATTGTTTTCTGTTTATTTGCGGTTGTAAATTGCATTATGGGATGTTGATCTCTGCTCTGTTTACTTTAGATGTTGAAAATTCAACTCTACAGTTTAACAAAGTGTCTTTTATTGACATTTAGTCATTTGAAATAATATAATGTATAAGAAATAATAATATCTAAAGAAATAAGAACCAGGTAAACTCCGCTGTTATCCGCCTGGATTTTGCCAACCCAAATTTAAAAGCTTCCCAAATCCACATGCAGAGGTGTAAATGCAAAAATGTGGTATTATTTTGAAGAAAACCCTTTGAATTTTCAATAAACACTACTGAACGTGTATGCCTTAATCCTTCATGCTATAGATTCAGCAAGCTACTGGAGTTATTCCTCAGAGATTTTGCTCCATATTGTCATGATAGCATCACGCAGTTGCTGCAGATTTGACGGCTGCACATCCATGATGCCAATCTCCCGTTCCACCACATCCCAAAGCTGCTCTATTGGATTGAGCTCTGGTGACTGTGGAGGCCATTTGAGTACAGTGAACTCATTGTCATGTTCAAGAAAGCAGTCTGAGATGATTGAGCTTTATGACATGGTGCGTTATCCTGTTGGAAGTAGCCATCAGAAGATGGAGACACTGTGCTCATAAAGGGATGGACATGGTCAGCAGCAATACTCAGGTAGGCTGTGGCGTTGATGCTCAATTGGTACTAATGAGCCCAAAGTGTGCCAAGAAAATCTCCCCCACACCATTACACCACCACCCTGAACCGCTGATTCAAGGCAGGATGGATCCATGCTTTCATGTTGTTGATGACAAATTCTGCCATGTTCAGTCACTTAAAATCCCCTTTTGTCCCAATTCTGATGCTCGGTTTGAACTGCAGCAGATCGTCTTGACCATGTCTACATGCCTAAATGCATTGAGTTGATGTGATTGACTGATTAGAAATGTATGTTAATGAGCAGTTGAACAAGTATACCTAATAAAGTGGCCGGTGAGTGTAAATGTGGTCTAAATTTAAATAGAGAAGCTTAAAAAAAATAATATACATATATATATATATATATATATATATATATATATATATATATATATATATATATATATATATATATATATATATATATATATATGCTCTAACATTTTTACATAAAATGTTTATATAGATGTATCTGTTTTAAAGGTGCATTTTAATATCTTGTTATGGAAATAAAAACATTACAAACGTAGGATATATTTGTTATCCATCCTCTGTTTCGTTATTATTAAAATTGTTATCATCACTATTTATTTTTCTCGTTTGAGAAGTACTTCTGTTGCATAATGAAGTACGGGACTGCACATGCTAGTTCTTGTCAATAAACCATACAAAAATAATAATAAGATTCAACACACGTCACCCATTGTCCTTTGCAGGGCTAAAATCCCAAAGAATGGCCTCAACAATG